TTTTGGTGATGAAGAGAGGGGACTTCGCGAGTTGGATGAGTGCGTCGTCGTCGATGTAGGTGGTGTTGATTTCTTTGGGAGAGTTGGTGGGGTCTGTTATTACCCCGGCGTATATCATAAATAGTACTGGGGATAGGGGGGATCCTTGGGGTAGTCCTGAGGAATATGGTCGTGGTGGTTCTAGTTCGTGGTTGAATTGGAATTGAAGTGTTCGATTGGTGTTGAATTCCTTGCACCAGGTCGTCAGGTATGTTGGAAATCTTTGTTGGGTCATGATCTCGGCGAGTAGGAGGTGGTCGACACAGTTGAAGGCTCCTTGTATGTCATTTGTGAGGAGTGCTGGTCTGTCTGGAGTAGTTCCTGTAGTTCGCTTGATCAGGAGGTTTTGTTGGATGGGCGTGAGCGTGCGGAGTAAGGCATCGATCGCTGAGATAGTTGGTCTGCCTCCGAATTGGTCTTTACTCAGGGTTTCCAGGATGGTTCCGGCAGTGCATAATCTTGTTGCCACTATCTTTTCCAGTACTTTGCTAAAGCATTGTAGTAGGGAGATGGGTCGGTAGGCTTTGGCCGATGAGTAGTCGGATTTTCCTGGTTTCGGGATTGGTATGCATTTTGCCACTTTCCATCGGTCCGGTTGGACTCCATGTCGGAGCATGGCTGAGAACATGTCCTGGAAGAGTTGGGTGTTTGACTTAATTGTTGCCTGTATGAAAGGATATGGTATGTTGTCAGGGCCAGTGGCCGAATGTGCTGGGCATGATTTGATTGCGGACGTGATTTCTTCTGTTGTTACTTCCTGGAAATCGTCACTAAGGTCAAAGGATGGGGGTCTGATTTGGAGTGGGGGGTTGTTGGGGGACGTCCAATTTGTGGGGAAGAGTTGGGCTCTTAGAGCTTGGCACTTCCCCGCAAACGTTTCTTCACCTTGTATAGTTGGGATTGTAATGTCCCTTCTTTTCCCCGTGTTGATTATTTTCCAGATGGCACTTCCCTTGGCCTCTGTGAGTTCTTTTTCCCTTTGTTCCGCTTTGGCTTTTCGGATTGCTGCCGTCCATCTTCTACTGGTTTTCCTGAAAGATTCCCTATCTTCGTCCTTTTGGGTGTTTCTAACTTTCCTTTCTAGTGTGTTGAGGGTTGATTTGATTTCTTTCAGCTCTGGGGTCCACCATTTCTTAGATTTGATGTGTCCTTGGCTCCATGGGGTCACCTAATCTATCAGGTTATCTATATGTTCGAGTATGAAGTCGACCGATTGCTTTGTGTGGTTCTGGCATTCCCATGCTTCGGGGGGGAACTGGAGGCCTGAGATGTTCTCTTCCAGTTTTCCCCAGTTCGTTCGGTGCCATAGTCTCCTGGGGGTGTGGGGGGGCTTCTCTATTCGTAGTTGTAGGATGGTTTTCCCATGGTCGGATCCGGCTCCATGTCGGTCAATGTTCCACCGGACGTCATGGTCCAGTACTGGTCCTTTGACTAAGGTCAAGTCAATGATGGTCGGTCTGTTGTTGTTTCTGGGGAAGTGTGTGAATTCGCCTGGTTCGTTAAGTAGGGATAGCCTTTGTCGATCGATCCATTTCTTTATTTTCCTGGATCCGGGTTTGTCCGTTCTGATTGTGTTGGTGTAGTCGTGGGATCTGTGCCCATACCAGAGTTGGTGGTGGCTGTTGAAGTCTCCCATGACGAGGGAGTTTTGGATGGTGGTTATCTGTCTGGAGATTTCTGCGAAGGGTCCGCTTTGTCCTGGTGAGTATATGTTGAGGATCTGTGTTTTCTGATTCTGGATTTCCACCGTGACGGAGACGATGAAATTACTGTGGGTGTAGTGGTGTTTTGGTTTCAGGTTGGCGTGTTTCCTGATGTATGTGGCGGCTTTAGTGCCCTTGTTGCTGGCTGTGAATAGGTAAAAGAGAGGGGATTCCGGTGGGTGGCCGTCTTTGTTGTTCCATGGTTCTTGTAAAAAAAGGAAAAGTATGTTGTGGTCCTGTTCTGCTTCCTCCACTACTGACTTTGTTGTAAGCTCGTTTTTCGCGCAGTTCAGTTGCTGTGCGATGGCCGTTGTTCTTTTGGTGTGACTCATTGGGTGTTATCCATGGCTGCATCTTCTTGGGGGGGGTCTTGGGCCGGGATGACGATGGGTATTGGTAGTGGGCTTGGGTTTGTGTCTGGTCCAAGTTTGTTTGTGATGCGGGCTTTGGTACGTTCTGGGCAGTTGGTGTCTGTTGCTTTGTGTGGGGCCTTGCAGTGGTAGCATCGGATGGGTGTATGGATGCATCTGGTACCTCCTGGGCATTCTGAGCATGGGTGTTCCTTTGTTTGGTGGTCCTCTGCACAGTGTCCGCATCTCCCGGTTTGGTGGGAGCATCTTTCGTGTCGGTGGCCATATTCTAAGCATTTGGAGCATTGGGTTTCTGGGTTGGCTGGGAGGTAGTTGTCGATTTTGCATTGCCGGTCGAATAGGGTAAGATATCTCAGTCCGAGGTTCTCTTTTGTATATTGTCCTGGGAGTGCGATGATCATTGACGAGTGCGTTTTCCCTGCTCTAGCTTCAGGTCTGCTTAGCCATCTGGGGATTTGTGCCATTTCGAAGGTGGTTCCGTAGTTGCTTCTGACTTCTGAGGCCATGACCTGTCCTGCTTCATAGCCGTCTCCGATTGTTGTTGGGATTCCGTGTACGATAAATTTGGACCATCTGGAGTTGACCCTTATGTCAACGAAGGGGACCTTGAGTTCTCTTAGGGCTGATTCAATTTCTTGTTTGTATTCTAAGACTTTTGAGGCGGGGGTAGCAAATTTGGTTTCTAGCACGATGTTGTTCTTTGAGGTTTTCCTGGCGGCGATAAGCGGGCAGTCTGGGTTTTCGATTTTTGAGTTGATTCTTGTTCTGATGTCGGAGGGGGTGACTGGTGATTCTTTATTTGTTTCGATGACTATTTCCCTGTCGATTTTTGTAACTTCTGGTTTGAATAGTGGGTCCACCTTAGGTTTGGGCTTCCTCCTGTTTGTGACCATGGTGTATTCGGGGTTGGCGTTTCCTGCTGCGATGGATGCGTAGGATTTTGGTGCTTGTGGGATTGGTGTTTCTTTCCTTTTCCTTTTGGTTGTTGTTGAGCATGGTTGGAGTTATTGATGGGTGCGGGGGGAGGGGCGGGGATGGTGGCAGCGGTGACGGCGGCGGTGGTTGTGGCAGTTCTTCCTTCGGCGGCCATTTGGTTGTTGTGCCTGTTGATGGAGAGATTGGTGAGTTGGTGTTGTAGGCGGTGGAGTTTCTCGGATGTTTTGTCCTGGTTCTTTGTCATTTCGAACATTTGTTTGGCCAGGGTGTCGACGGTGTGCTTGAGGGATTCATTTTGGACGGATAGGACTTCGATGGTGGCTTTCAGATTCTTGTCAGTTTGTTCGGTTGCCTTGTTGAGGGGTTCGAGCGCCACGGTGAGGGCATTTCTAATTACCCACGAGATGTAATTGAGATCCATTCTAGCATGGGTTTCTTGGGGGACGATGCTAGGGTGGATGTAGTCATACTTTGGTGCGTATGGTTCATTGTATTGGGTGTATTCGGCGAAGATAGAGAAGGGTTCGCCGCTGGGTTGGGTTTGCTCGATCGTGGTGGACTGTGTTTGTTGGGTGGATTGACTGGATTGGGTGTCGGCAAAGCGTGGGGGGGCTGGGGTTCCTGGGGGGGGGGCTCCTGCAAACCAGGAGCTCAGAGAGGCTTGTTGGGACATGATTGATGTTCCGGTTCGAGTTGGGTTTGGGAAGACTTCTGATAGAGTTCTTTTCCTGCCCGCGGTGTTTGGTGGGTTGGGTGGTGAGGCCAGGTTGTTGGTTGGTTTCGCTGCGGTCGCGAGACTTAGGCGAGGGCTTGAGGGGTAGAAAGTTCACAACTCAGGGACTAGAGCGTGGGTGACTTCGCGTACGAACAGATGTGCGATAAGATACCAATAGATTACGGAGTCTATTGACATACAGGATCGTGTTCGAGTAAAAGTTTTATCGAGAGTGCAGGCAAAAGTTTTATCGTTCGAAAGTTTTGGTGTTGCGAGGGTAGATACAGGAGGTTCCGTGAAGAGAAAAGGAAAGGAAGAGAAACATGAAAAGACACGAGACAATGCCCCTTTATATATCCAACTCCTAGTCCGTTGATGACTAATACCTCGCGTAATGGAAACCGAAAGAACCTAACAGAAACCTCATTACAAATCCTCATTCAATTGCGCAACCGCTCCTCCACACGACCCAATCTATTGTCTTAGTCGAGATACAATATTGCCGTTACAGGGCCGATGTTTCTATTGCGGAGGGGTCGGCCACATGGTTAGAGACTGCCCTCAACATCAGCAAACCTGTAGCCTTCGCCAGACGCCCGGGGCGCTCAGGGCGCTCAGGGCGCTCGGTAAGTAAACTACCTCTCCAGAGATACCGCCAGTGCTCCTGGCGAGGTCTGGCGCACATTATTCCGCCCCAGCGCACACTAGTCCGCACAACGGGCCCCGACACTAAGTAATAGCGCCCGGTGTAACTAGGACGTCACTCTACCCGCCAGAGAACGCCAGTTGCACGGTTGGATATCCTGACTGCTCCTGGAGCACTCTTCACTGCTCCAGCGGGCTCTGGGGATAGAATGATTGCCCTGACTCCCCCTGACGTTGCCGGATGGGGTGCTTTGAAATCTGGCTCATGCCCGACGTACCGATTCCTACATGTCGGCGCCCCGTCCTCTCTAGGCATACACCTCTCCGCCGTTCCGGCCTCTGGTATTCACAATTCCCCCATGAGATTACAAAAACATCACTCGCACGACGATCTCTACTGTCTCCAGAGCACTCGCGACTGCACTTTGAGAATTGGTGTATTCAACACCGTGATCCTCCGCCTAATACTAAATACAATACGCCATTTAACACCCTAACTAACCCTAATACAATATACGAATCAGAAGAAATCCCCCACTATCTCCCTTAGCACTCGTGATTGTTCTACACATCCTCCTCCCCCCCCCCTTCTTAATCCCCCGCTACAGGTAATTCCGGCTCTTCTTCTTCCTCCTCCCCCTCCTCTTCGGTGTCAATGCCGCGAAGTCGGGCATTAATCACTTCGTCCTGGGCGCTGTCGGAATCAACCCGACCTCCTGTAGCACTCGTGGGTGTTCTCCGAGCATCTCGGAATGCGGCAAGATCCGCAGGCAGAGCTTCATCGTCCTCGCTAAAACCCTTCTCCGGTATAATCTCAATCGTTACCCCTTTTTTATCTCGTATCTATTAGGGTTAGCATTTAGAATACTACTCGCATTACCGGCATCTAGAAGTATCATAGCTTTTCTCGAAGGTTATCTTTGATTACCTCCAAGGTTGCCTCCTGGTTCTGTTTACTTCTCCCCTTCCAAGTGTTGCTCATCCTGTTGAACGTTTCTACTCGTGTTTGGATGTCAGCTTGGCAATCCCGTATAGCCCTAGGAGCATCCGTCATTGCTCCCAAGGCACTCGCCATATCAATGAGGGCATCGGGCCATACTTACTCACAACACTCTCATTCTGCGACTGAAAATTATCAGGCTTCACGTAACTCCCTATTGACCACGCCCGAATGCCGTGCCAGATCGCCGTCGATATCAGGCAAATAAGGGTAGGGGTTATCCGCTCTAGAAATTCGGGATCCCTAACCCCTCGCATTCTTACCCCATCGAAGTATTTAAAATACAATATATCGATAATTTCCGGAGCCAGGAAGCGCAGTCGGTAGGTCTAGAATCTGTTACCGGCTATCCCGAGTGCTCTCTGGGCATCCACTGGCATCATACCTCGTAATGCTGTTGGGGGCTCAAGAAACGATCATTCTTCAAAAGGTATTCCACTTGAGCCGCCCTCGCCTCAGGCCCCACAAAATTTCCAAGCCCGTATATCGTAGAGTCCGCCAGGCGCCCTTTCACCTCGTGCATCAAGTGGGAACGGACACGGGAGTGCAGACTTCTGACCTATCATTCTCAATTATGCTTCCAGAGCACTCGTAATCCTTTTGGGGGCACTCACCTGTTTAATAACGACCTCATCAAGGTCTACTCTACACCCCACTCGGCGACTAGCAGTTGCCCACATGCTCACTACCAGTACCGAAAGTCTTGCTGCAGGTGGAAAGGGCTCATGTAGAAGAGTATGCTCCCCGATTAACACGCTACACTCCTTCTCAATCCTCTGAGCCTGCACTGACAGCACATTTGCACTCCTAGAGTTAGGGACCACAGACCTCTAAGTCAATTGGCTCGAAGGAATGTCGCCAGTGTTCTCAAAGACGTCGTGAGTGTCCTCCGGAATACTAACCTCGCTTCCGGAATCAAAATACCCTCGCTTTCCGGCATCGGAGTACTCTCGTCCTCCTCCCTAGATGGGGGAAGGTACTCGATTTCGTAGACTCTTCGCGATCTACCTTGACCGTGAAGTTGGCTTGAAGGAATCTGACGACTGCTCACAGAGTTCTCGCCAATTACCTCGCTAGGCGGTGAAGAACGATATGTCCGGTAAGTGGGGGACGACTCCCCGTATCGAGAGCGCATCGAGGAAAAATCGATATGGCGCGTAGAAGAGGTATACTCATGAGCATAAACAGGTGCAGAGGGCCTAGACTGTGAGGGTGTTGGGGGTGCTCTCTGGGATGCCGGGAGTGCTCTCTGGGATGCATTCTGGCTGGGTGCTGAAGTGGGTGCTGCTCTCCCTTGACCTTGTTTGCGTATTACTTTCGCGCCCGGTCGAGTTCCCCTCTGAATCGTTAGCCACTAATACTTACATGTTAAAAAGCATCAATGAGCGAGATAGAGTCGAACCTGTACCACGTCCACCGACACGTTGGAAGAAGCAATGACCTCCGCTACCGCGCCAGTTGGTTTCCTCCGAGCATTGCCCAGTGCTCTGGCAGTAGTCGGCTGAACTGTATGAGGTCTCTTTCCGACAGTCTGAGACTTCTGGGTGTAAGATGGGGGGGGGGCTTGAGGTTCATCCTCCGGTTCATCCTCATCCTCCTCAGAGCTCTCGTGGTCATTCTCCAGAGCATCATCATATTCTGAGTGGCTAGTATCAACTATTTCTTCCACCTCTGGCGACTCAATTGCCTCTGGTGCCTCAATTGCCTCAGGCTCCTCCTGCGCTTCAAAATTATCAGTATGATCCTCGGGGAGATGAAATTCTACCCTCCTAGGACTGCTCCTCCCAGTGGGGGTTTCGGAGGAACGGAAAAGACCTTTCCGAGTTATTTGAGCGGCGGTGGTCGATTGACTACTCTGGGTGCGGGCTGGCAGTGGAGTCAATGTTCGGTAAGATATTTCAGACTCGTCAGTCAGTAAATCTTCATGGTCTTCAGGTCGTTTTGGGAGTCGTGGGTGCTTTGGGGCAAGAGGTGCTGAACCGGAGGATCGCTTGGTGGGAGCCATTCTGATGACTGTCAGGAATATCCGCAGTGCTCTAGGAGTACTCGCGATATCTTCGATTAGAAATCAATTCTTGGCGAGAAAATTTGCGCTGCTAATCAAGAAAAATTTGCACCGCTAATCCTCTTACGGCAGGGATCATCCTATGTTACCACAATTTCTGCACTCAACCGCATCATTTATCATCACTCGTTTTACTGCACTTTCTGAAGCGGTAACGAGTGCTCTGAGAGCAATCTAGTAGTTTGATTCGACTTTGAAATAAAAGCAATGCAATTACTACCTGGAATAATCTAATCTAATCTAATCTAATCTAATCCTATCCGATATAACCCATCCATTGATATACTTTCGCAAGACAAAGGGAAATCCAAAACACCAAATCGTACCGCACCTCAATAGCTATCGCGAGTGCTCAGGGAGTAATCCTAACAACTATTAAAAGGTTAGTGACAATTCCGCAGGAAGGGAAGTTAGAGATTATAACAAAGGGAACTAATGATGCCCACCACCATCACCACCATCACCACCACCACCATCACCACCGCCTCCAGCTGGCCCACCACCACCATCACCACCGCCTCCAGCTGGCCCACCACCACCACCACCACCGCCTCCAGCTGGTCCTCCACCACCACCGCCGCCCGGAGGAGGAGGAGGTCCGCCCGGAGGCGGTGGAGGTCCTAGACCACCACCACCACCACCACCACCACCACCACCACCACCTCCAGCACCAGCAGCCGCGAGTGCGTCAGCAGCTCTCTTGGCTGCTATCCCGGCAGGTGTCCAGATCGTCCCCTGTAAGAAGTTTGGGTCAGCAACCCCGACACCCAAAGGATACTTCCTAAGGTATTTGGGGTCTAAATCGTCGATAGCATCCTGCTGTCTATCGCGACGCCTAACAAGAGTCTGAATTAGCCTTTGATTACTGGCATCAGTTCTAGGCATATATACCCTCAGTCCTTTGGCATTTATCTGGTGCTTTCCCTCCTCGTAATCCGAATCCTCTGCAGGAATATCGATCATGCTATAATCATCTTCCTCAACGTGAGGGAAAGCCGAGTTCAACGGGGGGGATTCCGCACCACCCAGGTTAGCACCCGCGCCTGCTCTGTGGAGGACCGCCAATATCCTCCGAGGCCTGGCATTGTTGTTTTTCAACCAACCTTCGAGCTCCTCTGAATCGGTAATTTGTACCTCCACCGGCCGAACGGGAGGAACAGCTGCCGGGGGGACATTCTCAATTGCCCCCCAGATAGTCCTGACTGCTCTGCCGGGTACGGTGTGCTTCAGGATCAAGTTGCATAGCTCGGGGAAAGTTATCTTGGTCAAAATTCCGATAAACGAAGGTTCGTTCAGGGGATCATTCCAGTCATAAGTAGGTGGTGGGACGAGCATAAAGAATGCCCCTAGAGCATCGGGGTCCACCACGGTAACCATTATGGAAGGTCGCACGAGTTCCGGAGGTACTGCACGCTCTTTCCCTTTGCGAGAGCGTCTTCCGGCTGCCTGACCACCGCCGTCATCATCATCATCACTATCACCGGCAGCCTCTTTGAACTGACGGTCTCCCTGTCCCCTTGATAACCTATCCTTCATACCAACATCTGCGATGAGTCACTGTAGAGCACTCGCCAGTGCTCTACGGGCATCGGAGTCACCCCCAGTCCAAATTGGCAGAAAACCGTTGAGGGAGGGCAAGTTCATCAAGTAAAGGCATAGGGCATTGAACGCAGCCATACCGGACGTGCTTTTATTGACCCAACCCACATTTTGCATTTCCGCCTTTAGGCTGTTGCGGATGCTGGTGTACACTCTAGGTAGGTTGAGTAGACCTAAAGTCATCTTCGCTTTGCTTGCTTGAGTCATCTTGAATGCGGTCGAGCTCGGGGATGTCTCTTGAACACTCGGGGATGTCTCTTGGACAATCGGCGATGGCTCGGGTCTAATTAGTCTCTGTCGTACTGGTGAGGGGTGGTCTATTAGTTCGGACGGGCTTGCACTAGAAAATAACCGAGAGGGGCGTCGGGGCTTGAATGTAGGGGTCTCCGGTGCAAGAACCTTCGGTGGAGCACTGACGGGTGCTGGTGAGGGAGTAGTAGAGCCTGCTGGGCCTGTTGAGCGGCCTGTTGCTGGGCCTGTTGCTGCTGGGCCTGTTGAGCGGACTGCACTAGACTTGGACCGAGTGAGAACTTGACTTGGGACTATGGTCTTCCGGGCAACGTTCTTTTGTGGAGCACTAGCGGGTGCTGGTGGGGTAGCACTAACCCTAAGTACGGTCGTCCGTACAAGGGCCTCTGGTGAAGCACTGCTGCGTGCTGAGGAAGCAGTGGAGACTGCTGCTAGTGGGCCTGTTGCTGGACCTGTTGCTGGGTCTTGATCGTCACTTATGTATGGTTCAGAGGGTTCGGAACTAAAGTCGGGAAAGGAGTCGGAATCAGTTAGGGTTGCTCCCCAGTTACTCGGGAAGATCCCTTCAGTGTCCGATGGAGCTAGGTTAGTATTTGGCGGAGTCCGGGTTTCAGTCCGGATTGGTGGAGGTACAAGGTTTTGTTTTCGGCTCTTGTTGATCGGGGTGAACCCGGAAAGCACTGGCGACTGCTTAAGGGGTGTTTCTGGTATCTCCTCCGGGATAGGCTTGACAGTTTTGCGGGACGATTTGCGACCTGAGGAAGTTCGGTGTTTCTTATGTTTTCGGGACGATTTGTGTTTCTTGGTTTTTCGGTGGGTCTTTTCGTTCTCGTCTTCGTCTATGTCACGCAAGCGCTTCTTATTGCGAAGTTGATTTATGTTCTGTGAGCTACCGGGAGTGCTCTGAGCGGTGTTTGGAGTCTGATAATGTTAATGTATCACTGTGGTGAGTATGGTTCTAAAATTAATTGGATTAGGAGAGAGAAATACCATCTTATTTATAAAGATTGCAAAGGTTAAATCGCTTGAAAACGGAGGAACTTGAAGGATGAGATTTCAACAGGTAATGTTGAAAGCAATGGAAAACTTGAAGTGATAGGTAGAGGAGAACTTGAAGGTGGTTAGGAACTTCTCACGAACTTGAAGGAAGGGAGGGGTGTTCTTATACCGAGTACGATCAGCTTTTTTCTTGAGCTCATCACGCTTCCGAGAGCACCCACGAATGCTCTAGAAGCACTCGAGGGTTCTCGTACTCAATGTTTGCTTCAATATATGACGTTGATCTAAATGCTCCAGGCGCACTCGGGGATGCTCTGACGGTACCAATGGTGACGTCGATAACATTCTGGTGTTGGGGTTGGTGCTTGTGTTCTTGTTGGTGTTGGTACTCTGTCCTCTAGGAAGCTGATTCGGAGAGAATGTATTCTTTGAGCTCGTAGTCGATATTAGTGTTGAATTTGGCGCTGAGAACACTGTCTCGATCTGAAGAGACTCCGCGAGTGCTCAGGGAGAGAGTGCAGATGGTCAGGGCGATAGAATCTAGCATAACTGGCCGCCTGATTGGGGTGGTGGGTGTTTCTTCGTGTTGGTGTTGATGTTTGTATTAGGTTGGTGATGTATGACATCAGACTCGTATTGAAAATCAGCCTTGCCGACCGGGGTGCAGGTGAGAGGAGCCTCATTGGCTGACAAATCAAATCATTCGAGCACTCTGCAGCAGCACCTGCAGGAAAGAGCCTCCTCGGCCTTGGCAGAAACCAAATTTTTAGAGCACTCAGGAGTGCTTTGCTAGCATCATGAGACTTCAATGAAATCGTCTTGCCCCTTTTGCAGCAAGCGGTACAGCTCCTCCGCGAACTTCGATAAACATCTTCGAACTACACATCCATTTGAAGCAGATGAATGGCTGGGAAACCAATTTTTACTCCTGGAGCGCGATCAAGAGGCACCCGATGACACTCACGACAGCCCGGAAGGCATTCACGATTCCTATTCAGATGCCCATGACGACTCGGATAGTTCGGAGAGCAACAGTATCAATTATCATGACCAAGATCCCGATAATAATTCAGATCTGGAATCCGAATCATATTTTATGATGGAAGAGACATATGGAGATGCAAATAGGCATGAGGCAGCGACAACGATTTACGAGGGTGCTGGGGAGCGTCTCTACCGCTCGGAGGACTACGACGAATGCTCACAAAACCTTCTCCGATACCCGTGGCACCCATTCAACTCAGCATACGAGTTTAGAATGGCACGTTATTTCATACTGTCGAAGGCCTCACAAGGAAATATCGACAGTTTCTTTCTACACGCTCCGTCAAGCAGTGGCGAATGCTCCTACAGGACTGGGCGAGGTTTTATAAAGAGGTTGGACGAAATGAATGACATATTGGGAAAGGCGAGCTGGCATCATTCGGAGGTGGATATTGGGGGAGAGAAAATCCCTTACTATTACCGGGATCCAATGGTAATTGTGCGATATCTTCTAGGCCAACGGGCCTTTCGGGAGTCATTGGTGTACGCGCCAGTGGTAGAGCATAATGAATCTGGCGAGAGAATGTACAGGGAAATGCATACGGGAGATTGGTGGTGGGAGACGCAGGTCTGGTAAGCCTCACAAGTGCTCTAGAGGCAGTCGCTAATGCTTTCTGGACAGAATACCTTACCGGAGGGGTCGACTGTGGTACCAATTATATGCGCGTCAGATGGCACACATTTGACAAATTTTAGTGGGGACAAGAAAGCCTGGCCAATCTATCTTACCATCGGGAACATCAAGTCATCGGTCCGGAGCAAGCCCACTGGGCATTCGTTAATTCTCCTAGGGCTACTGCCAGTCCCACCTAAGCTCGGGAAGAACTCACTCGCTAATTCCGCTTTACGACGTCAGAGTCAAATGGAGCTGCATCGCGCCCTTGGGGAGATCTTTCAGAGCATTCGGGAGTGCTCTCAGGAAGGCGAGCTAATCGCATGCGCCGACGGGTACGAACGTCTATGCTTTCCGGTGTTGTCGGGTTGGATCGCTGATCAACCTGAGCATTCAAACTTACAAAATATTAGTACTAGCTCTTGTCCAAGATGCGAGGTGGAATTCCACAGTCTTGGGAGCACTCGCCGGAGCCCTACGCGCGATCACGAGGATTACCGGGAGAGGGTAAAGCTATTCAGGGAGAACCCGGGAAACCTGGGACCGGTGGAATACCTTGTCGCGAGATCAGTAAAGACACTCTTCAATGCTTTCTGGGGTATGCCGAGGGTTAATCCATACGATCTCAACAAACCGGACATTCTGCACAATATCTACTTAGGGATGTTGAAGCACATGATGGAGTGGGTTCAGGCTTTCTTGAAGAAGCACAATCGATTGGAGGAATTTGACAAGGCTTGGGCCTCGATTGCGCCTTACCCTGGACTGGCAGTACCGAACAAGGCATATCGTGCCACAACCCAATGGCAAGGGAAGGAGATGAGAAATCTGGGGTGGGTCGTTCTTGGAGCACTCGCGGCTGCTTTGAGAAACCCGGGGGTGGCTGTCAGGGGCGACTTCGCAAAGGCATTGAAATGTGTACGAGGCTTAATCGACTTCCACTTAATGGCGCAGTATGGGAGTCATACGACGAGCACACTGAATTATATGGAGAGCTATCTCGAGGATTTCCATAAGCACAAGGATATCTTTTTAGAATTCCGGGCGTACAAGAGGACGGTTAAGGATGCGAGAGATCGGACAAAAGCTGTGAAGACCTCAGGCTCCCAGAGCGCTCAGCGAGGTTTGGAGGAGATTCGCGAGATACGGGAAAGGTCTCACTTCAACTTCATCAGATTGCACGTGTTAACGCACTATCGGGAACATGTCGAGCGCTTTGGGAGCATTCCCCAGTACTCCACCGACATCAGCGAACTCGCCCATGTACGTCAGATAAAAGAGGCATACGGAGCATCCAACAAGGTCGATGCTGCAACGCAGATACTGGACTATGGGGGGCGGCGGTTGGCGTTAGAGATTCGAATGCTGAATCTGAAAGACATTGTTGGAGGTCCTGAGAGCACTGACGACATCCTTTGGAGCCATCGAGATAACCTGAAGGAGTTACTTGAGATTTTTAAAATCGAAGACCGGAAAAAAACACCAAATGAACGATCCATAGTAGAAGGCCGACTGCCTCTAAAGCGTCTTTGCAACCCCTCCACGAAATCGGAAAGACTTTTCAATATTGCGGATGGACTGCAAATAAGCCATACCACGTTATATCACCTGATAAAGGAGTATGCAGAGGATGCGGGATGCTCTCAAAGCTTTGCCGGAAGCTCTGAGAGCATTTTAGAGCGCCGGATGGAGATGTTCACATGTTTGCAGGTTCCGATACCAATCTTCCAAAGACCTGAGGTGTACGAGGTTCACAATATCAGGTGTACGGGAAACGCGGCTTTTAGGAAAGGGAAAATAAGAAAGGATTGGGTATGGGTGTCGGTAGCGTCCTCAGAGGAGTGGGGAGTGTTTCGGGGACGCTTACCAGGACGTTTCGAGGCTTTGTTCAAGCTGCGGGACAGTGGGGGGCGAGCACATAGACTATGTATAGTGGAGCTACTCGAGGCAAAGGATCGTGGTATCGCTGATAGCTCACATGGGTTCCTGAAGGTTTGTAGGAGGAGGAGGAAAAAGATGTGGGTCGTTAATATTCGGAGTATATTGGGAATGGCCCATTTGTTTGAGGTGGAGACTGGTAATTGGTTGGTAAATACTAGGATAGACTTGCGTACGTGGAATGAATTTAGTTGAATACTTGTAAAGCCGTGAGGGCATTCTTGAGTGCTCTAGGAACGTTAGACCCAATTGGACTCTCTAATTCAAAATTCGTGTCGTTCTGCTATGCATGCGGATTGGAAGAAGGAGGTAAAGTTTCGGCCGCTCAGTATCTGAGTCTGGCTATCCAGCAAGTTCGCTCCAGGAGGTCAATGCCAGTCCATGTTTGCTGCTTATGCATGGACATTGAGCTTTTCAGACGAGCCGTACCATGGCCTCAACCTCAAGGCTAATTATGCCTTTCACGAATCGACAGAAACATACACGTCCGTCAAAGGTTGGGTAGTCGTCACCAGTATACAGGACAGTGCTCGTATCAGTATCCCGCGACTGACCGTACAGCGGCGTTGAGGATACCCACGTTAGATATCTTTTGAGGGACTGGTGCGGCCTTCCTATCCTTTGAGGACGGTGTATCAATCCAAAGGAGCCCAAATGAGGGTTGCCTCACCTTGAGTGGGTATGACGAATGCCTCAGCTCTGTGAGCATTGCTGAGTGCTCTGGGAGCACTCGCGGAAGCCCTCGCGGGAGCGTTCGCGGGAGCGTTCGCGGGAGCGTTCGCGGGAGCGTTCGCGGGAGCATTCGCGGGAGCATTCGCGGGAGCATTCGCGGTGCCGTGAGAGCATTCGCGGTGCCGTGAGAGCATTCGCCGTGCCGTGAGAGCATTCGTCGTGCCGTGAGAGCATTCAAGAAAACTGTGAGAGCATTGGGAAGTGCTCGCGTGTACTACTGACGTAATCAAAAGAAGCAAAAGTTCCTAGGTGCTGTGGGCGGAGTCACTCCATCCTAGCGTCTCCGGAGGGGGAGGGAATCTCATGGCGGCCCAGGCGACCAGAGCATTGGCGAGTGCCCTCCGGACGTGAGCCATATCTCCTGGCGGTCCCAGAGAGTGGGACGGTCCTGCGGCGGAGCCTGGCGCGAAGGTTGTACTCTGGCGGTGCCGGACGCGCTGGGCGCTCGTGGCGCAGAATGCCCGCCAGGACGTAGGGGCTGCGCCCTGGGTAATAGGCGAGCTTGCTGATGTAGTCTGTCATTTATAGCGGTAATGTATGTGTTTCGCTCCTGTAATCCATTTAGTGACGTGACTAAATTGAAGTAGTAAAAAGCCATACCCAAAGTAGTTCATTTGCTGTTCACCTCTTCCGATTTCTTGCCATTACTTCCATACCATTCTTTATGTTGGTTTCATTCCTTATCGTTCCGATCTATTCACATTTTATTTTCTCATCTATCTTCTTGGTTAGCAAGACGAAAGCTTGTTTGCTTTATCCTGTACTGATGTATCACTCCGTATATTGTTACAAACACTGTCCTTCTTTATCTGTTCAGGACTGTTTCTATGATATACTACATCTTCATGTGTATGTACCTGAAAAATGTCAGGTTGAATTATCATTATTATCTTGTTTTGCTGGTGCTGGTATATGTAATCGATACCCTGCTCACGTCACGTCACTGGCCCTTCCTCGCGTGCCCATATTGGTGATCGAGTAGCAAGAAGACGAAATCGAGTACGGAACCAAAAGGGGTAGTCAATCAAACCCCTGCGTATCATACATAACCTCGGCGCATATATGAGAATGACCATACCTAGTGTTGACTATACCTCATGAGTTTTGGTTGGTCAAGATCTAGAAACCCTCCAACCCCTGTCCCACAATGATGCAACCAACGGAGGCGACGTAGATGGACACTTAGTAAAGTACTTAGATTGTGTTTTTTCTCCCTATCAACCTCAATGTAGTTCACGTGGGTATGCATAAGTACTAGCCTGTACCGTCGAAGAGGGTCTTTCTTTAAGTTTAGGCTACGCTCCCAAAACACTGCATATGAAAATCAATAATCAAAAAAATCAAGCCTGAGGATCTTGTTCATTGCCCAGCATTTTTCTTTTTTTTCTTGTAGTGAGATTTCTTACGTGGTAAATATACATACATAGTCGGACTTAATTGCTTATAACGATTTCAACTCGAATAAATTCCCTCAAATAGTGGAAGGCAAAAACGAAAACAAAAGAAAGCCCAAAACCTAGAAGCCACATCCATTTTATAAGTATTTCTAGTACCATATCTCAATCCGAGAGGTGCTCGAACCGCAACACTACATCAGGCAAGCACTTGGGTTGTTGGGGGAGTCTCACTCGAGCCCAAACTCTGCTTGAACCTATTTTCCGTTATTAGCTTGTTACTACAGGGGAGGAAGGGAACTTATCGGAAAGAAAGGGACCCAACAGGGGCCGAACTCAAGACCACTTCTCAGCCAATTCATCTGTTCCGCATGATTCCAGAGTAACCAACCTTGTTTCGAGATTAATATAGCGGTACGGGAAGAGTCATCTTCATACACTGAATCTAATCAGGTGCCCGATGTTTCTCCAATTGAACCAGGTTGCAAGACTGAGGAGAAAAGAACTGATGCCAGAACCACAGAAACTGCTGATCAGATGGATACAGATCGTGCACACTCTCAATATGTGGTGTGATCCAAATGACAACGCCCCTAAGACAATTCTCGCCTGCCCTCACCAACCTTCATCAATGTGCTGTTTATCATGGCCATCGATGGACTTCACGCCCTTTTTCCCCATGTCTGCAGAAACACAACTGACAGAAGCGTTTTCATGATCATTCTGTTAAAACAGAAGGCACAAACACAAAAATTCCCAAAAAAAACGTATAAGATAGATTCTTGGATCGAACAACTGGTCAGGAGGTTGAGCCAGCGGGTCATTCCCAACCACGAGAATGTCAACCCAAGAGGGGTAGTTAGGGTTAAGAAGCACTGAAAAATTGACGTCTTGTGGGAAGGTTGTGCTTTTAGCAAGTCGGGGAAGGGTGTCAAAGCCGGCAAGACAATAGTCGACTATTGAGTGAGAATGAAGACATATGAGAGGAAAGTTAAGCGAGAGGGTGAAGATATTATCAGGAGCTGATAAAAAGGAAATAATCAGGGACAAGGGCCACTGCGTATCTGTATATAATGAGGCAAGTCCGGTTGGATGGGGAGAAAAGACCTGTCGTGTTTGTGCGCCCTTATTTGCATTAAAGCTCTGTGGTATAGATCAACCACTACAAACCTGTTTTCAGGGTTAGGAGTTTCTATTTGATATAGCGTGTTGGTCGAGATCTAGACACCCCAACCCACATAGCAACTAGCCAGATCAACAAGCCCCCATTGAAACTCTCATAACATTCTTATATCTAGTAACCAACTTCTCAATCTCGACCACTTCAATACCAAAATATTCATCTAAAGAGCATGTTTCTATTATGACATTCGTAAAACCCATCACAGCCCATGCAACTCAGAGCAAACATCGCCGCAAGCGCTCTACTATTATCAAAAAGGCAAACCGGGACTTGCCAATCTATCCTCAGCCCCTACCTTGTCAACATCCAATGCTCTCCTCATATTTTCCCATTATAATGACTATCAGGTCCTTTCTTTTAAATCCACTGGATGGTTGGCAATACCTTCAGATTTTGCTGAGAAAGAAGATATGAGATCTTTCTTGAATACAACACTCCTAGGCTTGAACGAAGAACCTGACAGCCCCAATCACCCGCATAAGCAAGATGCCTGTAAGAAGTTTCTGAGTGGGAAGCCGCCAACACAACATGAAGTGTTATATTTATGTGCCTGAGTGTGATACTAGTAACCACTCTAATCTTCTCGATAGATCATCGTTGCGGCCGTCCGAACTCTCTTCGAATGTTCAACCTCAACTTTAAGGATCACAACAGAAGCCAAATAATTATCACGGGGGCTATGGGCAATGAACTATAATGTCAAGGAATACAACCGAAGCAAGGACGTGGGGTATAGGTATTCAGAACTATGGACTATGGGGTGGTTCGACCTGATTCAGAATCAAGGTAAACCCTATGAGGTGACGTAGAACAAAGTTATATTCGTGGCATAAGGTACAGATTGATGGATAGATATTTTATTACTCGAATAGAAGCACAGAGCTTATCGCGAGGGTCAAAAGTACCTACAATCATAACCGAACGACATGAAAAGGAAAAGACAAAGGAAAGCGAAAAGACGCAACTAACTAGAGTTACGATACAAATTGGTGCGAACACAATGGAACGCGAGACAGAAAGGGTACAGGTAAGCAGAATCGAACCGACAGAGAAAGAAACCTTCCCGTAGTAGTATAATCCAAACACTTCTCCCAATTACAACCTTGTCCAAACCTGGCGTCGCGAAGCCACTTGCCCCACTTAGCGTGTTCCAGAACCAACTCAAGTGTCTCTTATCCTAGTAGATTAATCTGGGGCTGTGGTAGCATTATCATTGACCCTCTTGACTGGCAGCCTGGCCGACAGAAGAATGAAGTGCGAAAACGAAAGGGGTGTGCTAAGGTAGGGTAGCATAGGAGTCTGCTTGTCTGACAGCAGGCTGTTGAGGATGGTAAGCGTAAGCTGCAACCTGTTGGTGGTCTTTACAGTGGTGACCTTCAAACTCGATTTCTGTAGTATATAGGGTGGTCGCAGTCGTAAGTGCCGACCGTGTCTTAATGGAGTGGCCTTGGTTATAGTGCCGGACCGATAGGGTTGGGTGAGCGGGAAAGCCGACTCGGTTGAATAAGTTGCCTAGCTGGGGCCGTAAAGCGGGGCAAGGCCCAACGAAGGGATCTCGCATAAGGTGAGAAACGATTCATCAGCAAGATTATACATATTCATGAGTCTCCCAACAGTCTCCTGGGTCTCCTGAGGTTCTCCTGATACACCAAAACGGATTTTGATTCTCTGGAGACACAGGAGACACTTTACAGAAATTGTTAAGCTTGCTGATGGAATGTTTCGCGGCCGTAAGGTGGCTAACACCATGGGTTATAGTAGGCTTTGGCAATGGGTCTGCGCTGACCTCCAGACTATTGATAGAGTTCCAACGCGACATAGAGAGGGGTAGCCTCGAAGGGCTGGTCATTTTGGCGTTGCGATTGGGAGCGCCGATGGGGTTGAGGAGGGAGTGAGAAGAAGGACGCGTCCTCGTAAGAGGCTTCAACTCGGTAGATAGTGGGGGCATTTCGCTCAGAGTCTGAAGCAATTTGAGAATCAGGATGTCGAAATAGGAGGGGGTCTCCCGTACCCCAAGCGGTCGGACTTGGTAAGGTACCGAGGTTGCGTGAAAAGAAGAGGAAAGGAAACAAGAAATAGCAAGAGACAACCCCTTTTATATATCCAATACCCTTTTCCGATGATGACTCATACTTCTGCGTAATAGAAACTAAAAGAATATAATAGAAATCCCCATTACAAATCCTAATCCCCCTGCGCAATACCCACTCTTCACATTCCAATATATTGCCTAGCCGAACTACATCATGATAGCTGCCGTTACAGTTTCCTAGAATTAATGCTGGGAGCACATCCAGAGTATGGGGCCTTTGTCAACCCAAGTAAGACGTTAGTGAATTTTGACACAAGTGTGGGAGGTGTCAAGATCAACCGCCCTGTCGATATAGATGAGTTTCCATATTGTGGCATTCTCTTGAATACGAGGAACTTGGATATCAGTAAGGATACGACGAAGCTGATTCGGGCTGGCATGGATTGGCTTACTAAAGTCGAGTATTCGAAAATGCCTCAGCAAGCACTCCGCAGAAAAGCACGACAGTAAGCATCACATAGGCATCCATCTCTCTCACCCATAGCTAACCCTTGTTTTTACTAGAGCCTTACAAATGCAATCCCATCGTATGTACTTCGAAACTGAGTACAACAATTTCACTACAGTGTTGAAGAACCTTTACCATAATTTCACTCAGGCCGCGCACAAAGTCTATTATGGAGCAAAAGTACTGAAAGGTCCAAATTCGCCCGACTCACAGCTGCTGATCGAGATCATAGAAGACTTACTTAGACTGCAGTACACTATCATCAAGACCTACTCCAAGCATCGACATGGACCTAGATGCTCCGTCAGCAAGTATCAGGTCTTCAGGCTGAGAGCGCACGCATTTCGTAGGGTGCTGAGGCGGATCCAGACGGGGTATGGTGGGGTGTTAAAATGGTTGAATGATGAGTTGAGGGAAGGAGGAGGGGGATCAGATAGGGCTTTAGAAAGCGTGTTAAAGCAGTGTGAAGCATCGGAGAGCGTTTTTGTGGTAATTAGTTAGCCGGGTTAGTTTGTTTGGAAGGGGGGCAGGGGGGGCAGGTTAGTCAAGTTTTAAGTTAGTTAGGATTAGTTAAGGTTAGTTATTTTTACCAGTACTTCCGCAGCCGAGTGTAAATCTTGTAGTAGTTGTATAGTTCTATCTGAATACCTTTGAAAAAGCGGGTACTTTTTTACCTATGATTAAGCACAGTATGTAAACATTATGGTTTTTGCAATGAAAATCAAACTTCACAAGGCCTCCAACGCCATTTTCCCCTCCCTGTTATCAACTTAATTGCTATAAATCTCTCTCTGGCGACGCCGAATTTTGTTCAGCCGGGTAAAAGTCTAGCTCAATGAGCCGAATGTTTTTGTTGAGGAGTTCTCCTACAGTTTTACGGACTTTGTCCTTAGTTTTTGAGTCCGTGCAGACTTTCAACCATTACCATTAGCCGCTCATGTCCCAATTCCTGTGTAGTACCAAAAAAGCCTTACTTGAAACAATTATACGTCCACTCTGCTCCTTCACCAAGTGTTTCACAAGATGTTGAACGTCGAATGACTTATAGAACTTACTGAGGCGTTTCCCATACTGTATCGGTCTACGTTGCTCCCCCGGTACATATTGTGATATATCGAGGATCTAGACGAATACTTGTGTTAGGAATTGACCTTTTAGTTATCAAAGTTTCCCTACTTTGTGTTCATCATCTTGCTTCAAAAGCTCGTCCATCCAATGCTTTACCCATGTTTCGTGGTCTTTTACTTGTCAGCTCCCTCTTATACTCCATCTCTCAGGCCACTAGAACTAGATAGAGATTCTCACATTCTTTGTCCAACTGCCAATGTAGAGAAATACGCTGGGTACTGACTTCGCGGTTGTGGTATCCGCTCAGAAGACTTTTTATGTAAGGCAGTTGGCCGGCTATGCCAATCCCAGTCATCAGAAAAAAATGGCATGTCGTCTTGGGACACCTGGGCGCCCGAGATGCCCCAGATGCCCCAGATGCCCCAAGACTTTTGCTTACCTGTAGACCGATGCCGGGGCGTACCGAAATGGAGCCAGTGCGCCTCTTTGCCAAAGGACGTCGTCGCGAAAGGTTAATACGCCAATTCATCTTTTGGCGTCTAAAGCCGTCTTTTGGCGTCTTCAAACTGGTATCTTTGGCCCTGTTAACAGCTTTCACTAGCAGTTTTTGCTGGCAGAATGAGATCACTCAGCAAAAGGTACATCGGCTAGGACATTGTTTCCGCACGCCAGTTACACATATTCGTCTATCTGTCTATCTAATTCTCTATTTACATATTTGCTAGCGCTCTACCTACCTCCGCGACTGACTGCCTGCCTACTAGTACCTCCGCGCTTGACTGCCTTCCTACCTACCTGCCTGCCTGCCTGCCTGCCTGCCTGCCTGCCTGCCTGCCTGCCTACCCCGCACCTGCCTGTCTACCCCCATGCCCGACTACCTACCCCCGCACCTGCCTGCTTACCTGCCTACCCCCGCACCTGCTTGCTTATCTACCTACCTATTTGGAGCTTAATTGACGTTGATGAAGTGCACCGCCAGTCATCGATTTGGGCGTAGATTTGAGCGTAGATTTGAGCGTAGATTTGAGCGTAGATTTGGGTGTAGATTTGCAGCTGATTTAGGTGTCGACTTGGTGCAATTAGTCGACGTTTGATGTCGTTTTGAGCGTCAATTTGGGCGTCAATTTGGGCGTCGATTTGCTGCTATTTAGCAGTCTGTAGCGGTGTCAGTACAGGCGTCAAAATACAGGTAGGTAAATACGTATCCAGGCATCGCTGCAGGTAGGAGGTAGGCATCGCTGCTGCTAGGAGGTAGGAATCGCTCCAGGTAGGAGGTAGGCATCGCTGCTGGTAAAAGGTAGGTGTCGATGCTGGTAGGAGGTAGGTGTCGATGCTGGTAGGAGGTAGGTGTCGATGCTGATAGGAAAGCAGCAGGTAGGCAGCTAGGCAGGTAGGTACGGAGGTGGGATCCTCGAGATGTCAAATCTGACGTCATTTGCTAGCGAGCTCAGGGCTAGCACCAGGACTTAGGCAGATTCGCCACGGTGGGTCACGTTTTGGGAGGCAGTGGGGCGTCAAGAGGCGAGGTGTCATATTTGGGACGCCTACTAGGCGTTAAAAGACGATCTATCACATTTTGTATGCTTCCTAGGCGCCAAAAGACGACGTATCACATTTTGGTGGCGGCGGGACGAGGTTTTGTGAGCAATAGACGAGGTTTTGGGCGCGGAAGACGAATTTGGACATCTGGGCGCGCGGATTCGTCCTGGCGAAACCCATTTTTTGCTGATGCATATCTTGACTCTTAAGAGATGACTGAACATATGGAGAGCTAGAGTGGGGGGGTTGTATATCCTAGCTAGTGGGCTCAAGCTTTTTGACGTAAGATAAGCTTTAATTTACGGACGGAGTAGTAGTACGTAGATAACGATTGACATGTGGTGGTGGTGGTGGTGGTTAGGTTGGTGTTAGGGTTAGGGTTCTCGTAAGTGCTTTGCTGCATGATGGGGTATGGGAAGAAGCGACTCTACAGGCAGAGTGGGTTTGTTTACCGAAGACTAGACAGACGGACCCGGTAATTTGGGAATTGCGAAGTTTGGGGAATTAGGGTCAGGCACAGGTGTGATATTGATAGCTACACATATATAACCCGGCGAATTAAAGCATGCAGCGGGGGTTCCGACCTCTGCATACATGTCTATGCCATGTATCATATAACCCATACTCTCTCTACGTACTCAACGGGGGCCGGCCGGCCACACATGATATATAGGAATTCCCATTATATTAACATGTAATTAAATCAAACCTCAACCCAGACCTTACGCTTCACGCCGTCCACGGTCCCGACAGTGGGGATTATCATCCTCCCCGCCGCAGTTATTATCGGCTTCTTTTCGGCAACGCTGCCAGGAGCAGGTGTCTCGTTGCTCTCGGTAGGGCTCTCGGCGACGTTCTCGGCGGTAGTCCTGTTATCTGATCAGTCTCCGGCAGCACTTATAATTAGATCGCCTGGAGCGTAAGGCTCTACCGATGGTACAGATAGTCCCGCTCGGCGGCGTTGAGGAGGGCGGTTAGGAGCTCGTAGGGGAGCGTGTTGGGGAGGAGGTAGAGAGTCATCCGGGATCGGATGTCTTGGAGGCATTGGTGGTATGGTTCGGTGTTGCTCATGCTGGTGGTTGAAGGGTTGGTAACCGGGGGGGTGGTTCGGTTTTTGGTAACGGGTGATGGTTTTTTGCAGTAGGACAGGTTCAGGGTTACAATTGATAGAGGGTTGGGCGGCGGCGGGTTGGATTAAGAGTTGCCTCATGTCACTCGGCGCTATATATGCCATAGTCCTAGCTAGGTCAAACAGGAGTCTAGGTGATGGAAGATGCGAGAATCATGTTTCGGCTCTAGGCAATACGCCCAATCGTACAGCATATAGCATCGTGGTGTAAGGGCACGTGCTAAAAGATAGGTGTGGAGTATATTTATTATTGTAAGAGATAGGGATCACTTAAGTACTCTAGAACGTCTTCCATACGTTTATTTATATATGCCTTAGTGCAGTGGCACTGCTTTCGTGGAGATGCCAAACCTTTCTTCTTCCTATGATGGAATGAGGTGATGCTGTCTTTCCGATCACTTTAATCTATGATAAGGCCACGAACTACCTTTAGATGGGTACCATTTTTCAGCACCTCCGATCAAATCTAGGGCCAGGCGCAGGAGAGTTATACTCTTCTGTGCTCTATATACCAGCTCTATACAAGAACTAATCCGATATCTTCCCTGTGCACTGGGGTTTCAGTGCCTTCTTAAGACATCTTGGTTCTGTGTCGACATCGAGCTTGTTTGTAGCTCTATATAGCTCTGGAACTGACGGCTTGGCTGCTGGCATGACCTTCTGCGCCGAAGGCTCCCAGGATTCATACCTCATTCTGGCTACATATATTAATTACCGTTTCAACGCGAGAAGGACTGAGTATCTTCCTCTGACGATGATCGCTGGTTCCAGGGCCAGGGATGTCAATTAAAGGCTTGCTTACACTGCCAGTGATACTGCTGCAAATAAGCTCGGCAAGAATCACGTCCTTTCTAGGCACAAACAGCAGCCGAGTGGGTGAGGGGACATACAACAACTACCAACCACTCGACCTCACCGAACCTCACCGCCCAAAGACTGTAAATTGCAAACATGGACCTTCCCTACGAGCTATGTCGCGAGATAATCTCCTACCTGTCCCCGCGAGACCTACATAGTCTCAATGTGCCTAGTACACCCAGCCCACCTCAAAGCCGCAAGGTAATACCTCTACCGCGAGGTCTCCGCGCCGCTCTCCCTCACAGGCCTCCAAAGATTCCTTGAGATTTCGCGCGACCCAGTACTCGCCCCGCTGGTCCGCACATTCAAGTACCCCACCGACGTCGGCATGATGATCGCCGACACCAGTGGGAACCCCCACGGGCACCCGTTCCCACATGAGCAGAGCATGTTCTGCTGGGGCAACGACAAATACATGGAGGTGGAGCTCGTGCAGGAGGCCTCGGAGGAGGAGCTGCAGCTAGCTCCTGGTCGAGAACAACAAAAGGTGCTGCGAGCAGCGCAGGTTTTTGGTGTCGCCAGACCATGAGAGGATTCTCAAGGAAGCGGTGCGGAACCTGCCTAACCTTGAGGCGTTGAATCTACAGTTGGGTATCTTCAACGTGGATAGGCGGCTGTGGACATTGGTAACCGATTCCATGGATATGGAAGCAATTAAGCAAGATAAATATAAATGGAGACGTACCATCTGGGGGGCGCCGCTAACACAAGCGCGAGTGGCGCAAATGCACCGGCGGTCATTCGTCACGTCGAGGATATACTGGAAGTTCCTTGAGATTCTATACTACCCCAGAACACCGGTCAAGATACTCGATGTGGAGGGCTCGGGGCTCATCCAGGCTGGATACCACGATAGTTGGCAGACAGATCTCCAGCAGTTATTCAAGGACATCACGACCCTCCGCTTCTGCTTCAAATCAACAGCACCAGCGGAGTCTGTCAACTCGGAGAGATGCCGCATTTACCGGGAGGAACCTTGCCGAGAGAAATTCTTTGGCTCCTATATCCCGCTCCATCTACATTTCTTCAGATGCGTTGAGAGGTTGACGATCATAAATGCCAACCCAGATCCCGCTACGGAAGACATACAGCCCCCGAGTTTTGAGTTCCTGATGCGCATATCCTCGGATAGCGAGCTGGTCGTGCATACATTTCACCTAGAGGGCGTGCACATCAACAGTGTGAACTTACTCAGGCTCTGCAAGTATTGCCACGCAACTCTGAAGAATTTCTCGATGCGCCGCATCTCTCTGCTTGGTGACTGGAGGAGTGTGGTGAGCGATCTGAAGAAGGGGGATGTGAAGCTGCGCTTGGAGACGTTTTACATGCGGGATTTGTGGGAGGAGTCGGCGGAGGGGGTGAAGAAGAAACTTCCGGCCGAGGTGGTAAGGAAGTTGGTGCACTATATGTTGGGCCCGGAGGACAGTGAACTGGTGCTGGAGTATTGAACATGGCGTGTGGTAGTACCGTATATATACGAGTCTGAACTAGATCTCGTAAGCTGATGGGATACGTGTATACTAAGTTATTCCTTGTGCTCATTGATTTTGCTGCTCTATATATGTAGATCTAGATACGTTCTCGGTTCTGAACATGTCAGGTCTAGATCTAGACTCTACATCATGTACTCGGGGCTTCATGTCAGGGCAAGACATGCCAAAGCTATAACTAGAGATGGATCAACCCGATCCGAAAATCCAATATTATTGCCCACATGTCTACCAAATCTCGTAAACGATGCAAGGGCACAAATATGCAAGGCACAGAGAAGGTATTTGCTCAGCCATCTGAACTTATTGTATCCCCGCGATCATTCGTGGGGCTGGACGCTGGTATAGAAATATATTTATCCGTAGCTAGCATTCTTATTAATTAGTTAACTAATTAATCAATTACTAGTATTCCCATCACACCCCATCACTCGCTCCCCATCCTCCGCTTCTACCCGGTCGCTGCCCGCCCCGCCCCCTGCCCCCACCGCCCCCTGCGTCATGCAATCTTAGACATTTATCAACCAACCCAACCCAACCCGCCCGCGCACGGAGTACCACGGACGGGCGCGCGGGCTGATCGCGTTAGGGCAAAGGGCGTTGATTACGAGGAGAAAAAGTTTTTTTTTTTTTTTTTGGCGCGTGTCATTGAATCGATCGCGCGCGCGCGCGCCGGGGAGATTTTATGTCTGCGCGCCGGGTGGGAGAAGATCATGATCAGGCAAGCAAAAGTGTTTGGTAATATATAGCTACAGAGAAACATAAAAACAAATACATTGGCGCAACGGAAACAGCGACGCCCCTACGCGTCTGTACGTCGTCCGTCGGCCGGGAATTAGAGTAGTTACCATAGAATGGCCCCCAAAGATAAAGCTACATAGCTACATGATGTAGCTATAACAAAGAGCTATGTATGTGTCTAGAAATAAAGAAGCCAATAAAATAAAATAAAAAAACAAACAAGAAACGAAAAAACCATTAACACCAGCTCCAAACACCAAACCCTCACTCTCTCACTCCCCAACCTAGATCATCAATCCCGCCAGCAACGCCGGGATCAACAAAGCCCCACCCAACACCAATTGTGCGGCCGCGCCCGTCTGGGCCGGCGAGCTGCCCGACGCCGTGCTCGACGGCGACTGCGTCGAGTCCGAGGCAGAGCCAGAGCCCGAGGCGGTGGCAGTCATTGTGCTCATGCTTCCGCCGGTGGAGGACGAGCCTGCGGTGTTGGTGGCCGTTGCGCTGCCGGACATGGAGGCGGAGGACATAGTGGAGTTGTCTGTAGATACTACATGTTAGCGACTCGTGCGAGAAGGAACTTAAGGGTAGTTGTGGTGTACGCACCACCATCGATGTATGGGACGCAGCTCGACGCCATCTCCATGCCAAGCTTCATGAGCGCGTTCTGGTCGTCCTCTGAGCATTTTAGCGAGCATGCCGATGCGGCGTCGCTGACGGTCTCGTTGATCGCGTTGGGGGCATCGATCGCTGTGCACATGCACTGGAGGGAGTTGCTGGCATCTTTGCACTCTGCTTTCACGTTGTCGATGATGACCGAGTTGCAGTCCTGAATGCAGGTGGGGAGGTCGTTGAAGAAGTCGTCGCCGTTGGTGTAGGTTGCGGAGACGGAGGCCACAGAGGCAATGAGGGCGAGGTAGAGGGTTGAAGAACGCATTTTGGGAGTATTTCTCTGGGTGGAGGAGAGTTGGTGGTGATACTTCTTTCTTGTGGACTGCCTGGGGAATTTGCAATAGGGTGAGGAATTGGAAGAGATTGAGTGGCTACACAGCTTTATATACAGACACACGTCGCATACTCTGTCCCTTTCCCCCTCAAGGAGGTAAATATCGTGGTGGTACCATTGGCATTCCAGCGGCACAGGGGAGGGCGGGGGGCGGGGGGGGGCTGGTTGTTCAGGTTCAGATCTGGTGGATTTTTCTTCACACACGGCACATTTTTAGTGTCTACCAGGTAGAGAGTAGGTACAGAATTAAAAGTGCTTCGTGGGTGTGGTCATATGTGTACCTATCTGTAAAGTACCTACATGTCATAATATCGCTTGGGACGAGACATGCTTCTTCGGCTTTCTCGGCAACTTTTCGCCTGCTCTAGATATATATCCTAGCCCAGTTATGGGCTTTTCCGAGTAACCGGGGGCGGGGGAGGGAAGCGAACCTGCACGGTTAGGTCGTGGGTGACCACTCTTTTATTTTACTGAGGATTACTTAGAGTCTCTAGAGTAGAGTACTGTGGATTTACAATCCACAGTACTCTACCAGTGGCCAGGGAGCCACTAAACCAGTAGAATATATAGCGGGCAATTAATAGATTTTCTTAAAGTAGAAGTACGTGTGGCTTATCTACTGAACCACTCCCACAGCCCTGCGGCTTGAAGTGCTTGGTAGGTGCAGATCCTTGTTAAAGCACCTACTCTACTCTGCCTGCATGAAGCTTGATCCTCTAGCGAAATTGCGCCTCTGAGGCGGGTAGCCAATATACTAATGCAAGGGGAAAATCGTGTGTAGATTCAGTATAAACCAATATATATATATACACATGGTGACTCGAATCTATTTAATCAAGCACAATCTGTCAACTACCCTGCAGTACTGTATTTCTCAGAGGGGGGAAGGCGACTTACCCATCAACGGTACTGTCGTCCGCTCAAACCCTATTCGAAAAGTCATTCAGAGACATGCGTCTCCCAAGATATTTACACACATGTCTCGCAACGTCTGACCTTGAATGCCAGGTGGATGTAGAACGCTGTCTTGCACGCTAGGCGCACTGTGGCCAGGCTTGATGGTGGTGGACAGGTGCCATGCAAGCTTTTCGATTCTGGTGCACAACTGACGTTGTCAAGAGCCTGTTGTGCCGTAAGTCATAGATGGTATTCTAAAGGGGGATGCATTAGAGGTACACCCCTATCGCCTTTTTCTGTACTAAATTTTTATCAACGGTACCCGACCAAGCAGCAGATATAAGAACAAGAAGATAGGGATGAAACGCATCGGAATAAATAGAAGAGATACGACATACGTGTAGTATCTTTTTCCCGTCTCAACGGATGTGTCCCCAACTCCTACTAACACTTCTTGATTCGTGTCCCGTCTCCGTCAAGACCAAGACCTAAGATACACACATGTGGCCATCCAGACCTGAACTATGAGACCTTGACCCAAAAAACCACTTGGCACCTGCGAAACATGGTGCCAAGATCGGAGTGCTGGGCCAGACGTGAATGATGCGGAGAGACACAAAATATCTTCACGGCCAGCCCCCCCGAAGTAACTAAAAAGATTTTTATTCCGTGTAGTTTAGGTAGTACACTGTACCACAATCTGATTTTCTAGAACCCGTAAGACTTTGGAATTGATTGGCCCGAGAGGGAGTAACCCTAACCCTGACAAGTCCACTCCCTCCAGCGCAAAGCTAAAAAAAAATCATAGAAGGCAAAGGTCATATATAATCCATAAGATACAGCAACAAAAGTAGGCCCAGCGGACCACTCAGGTAAGAACATATCCTATCGACCCGACGTAGGCCCTGGTGCTGGTGCTGGTGCTGGTGCTTATGGATGCGCGTTTTCATGCTGTTCGTGATCAAGGTCTAGCGATATGATTGGGGGATATCGGTGGTGGTTGGGTTGTTCTCGTGCCGTAGCCTAGTTTTTATATAGCTTCACTAACAAGACAGATTTGCTTGACCTGGTTCAGCCACGTTACCGCTGACCCATGTCCTGACACATCTACGACTAGTTAGCCTCAGTAGTAGCCTGCACCACAGCGTCTCGATTCTAGAAAGAGACCCCCAACAACCAGTATGCCGAAAGTCACAGATCACGAAACACGGAAAACCCCCGTACTCTTACAATCTTGCGTTTATAGTTTACCGCATCTTCCATCATCTCGGCGTCGCTACTTGTCTTGCATTATGTCTGTTGGCTGGGCGTGGTAACCGAGTGATAATCGATGACGCGAACTCGGGGGAATCACGGAAGGAAGATGCCGTTTTAACAACGCCCAAGGGGAACACTTAAAAGTGGCGTGGGAATCGATAACTCTGGGGTACAAACAAGGAGTTTGCGTCTTTCTTACATTGCTGTACTGGATCTATAATACCTACAATTTTCTATAACCAAGGCCGTATTCGTATTGCCACTTCTACTGTTGCTAATACGTGAGTGTATCCCAACATGGGCTATTCGGCCTATGTTTAATTATTACATGTAGCTAAAGGTGCATTACTGATACGACTCCAACGTCAGTAGTTCTCGAACGATAGGACCGATCCCCAGACTTTACCTCCCGGTGAAGCCCGCACATGGACTAGTATAACTCATTTCATCATCCCTCCCTATCTTTACAGGACTACATGTACTCCCCAAGTCCTTCGCCGCCCCTCACCCCCCTCTCTTTGTAACGAACTCTACGACTCCATGATCACCAACACCTACTTGTACCGTCTTTGCCTGTACATCTCTCCGTTCGACCCCCAATCTCCCACACCGCCCTTCGCTGCATGACCCGTACGAAGTACAGCCCCATTCAACGCTGGCAGAGACTCGGAGGCGTTCGGTTCTAGCTTGGCCGCGCTTTATATGCTGATCAATAGGAGTGTCATTTGTAGGACAATATATACCGACATGGGAGAATGTATAATACATGTATTTTGGAAAGGTTCTAAAAATGACACTGTTTTGGTATATATACGTGCTATGCAACAGTGCAAAGTGTCGTAGTTCTGTATGATCAAAATAGAAAGTTTACCTCTCCCTCCTCTAGAAAAATTGAGAATTAAAATCGCCCCCTAATTTATTTCAATAAAAAAAAAAAAAAGAACAAAAGGTACTGCAGCGTCTTATATTTGCTACTACCCCCACCCCTGGTTCGAACCCAGGACCATTACGTGTACTGGTCAACTCTCGGTATCTAACCCGACGAGCAGTCTAGTACCACTAGACCACTCGCCCATGGTGGACTCTGCACTGGAGTGATAATTGAGCTTGGCACTCTGCCAAGATGAAGTAGAACCCCTAACTCTTTTCAACCATCTGTAATATTTGTGGAAAAGAGTGCCTTTTTGCGTCATGTGTTGCAGCACGCGTCTCCCGAAAACTGTGTCATTTTAGACCTCTTCCGGTAACACTTTCGGGGAGCGTGGGCTTCGTGGCACCCTCGGACACCCGAAACCCTATTCCTCCTACCATGAGCACAATCGCACGTAACTAGGCTCGTCCCCAACACCTCTGTCTCCATGCTTCCAACGAGTAGCCTGCTGCTAAGTAAAGGATAGGTATGAGACTAGGACGTAGCTAAGCTGCACCGGAAGCAAACGGAACGCTTCTTATGATGGACAGTGAAGGAGGTGAAGAAACATAACTAGCCACCTATAGGAAGGGTTAGGGTTTAGTTTAAAAGGGTTAGGGTTCCGATAAGTTAATTATCTTTTGAGTGAATTTACGTGCTATGTTTTTTTAATTCATACTCGCGTGCAACCTTTCAGTTATGACGGAGCACTCAATATACAGTACAAGTACAGGGTTTCACCCTTTATGCCTACTAGTCGCTCCTTTCAGCAGGATGTGGAATACCCCAACCGGCCCAAGGCCAGCACTCATACCTAGCCACACTCCATCACCAGTCCGCATGTCCCATTTGGGTGCCGGGTGTATGGAAAACTCTCCCCAGGAGCAGAAACCATCCCACATGCCAAGCCAGGAAAAGAACCCACGATTAATATCCCCTGGGTCACCGTCCCTACAGGATTCAAACCTGCAACCTCGCCCATCCTCGGAAAATTTCCTCATCGGGAGAACTCGGCCACCTGGAAGCCTACCCACTCGGCCATCCAGGGGCTTTACGTGCTATGTGATAGGCTAGATGGTATTGGTTAACTGGGAAAAACTTCACTAGGAAGATTTTGAGCACCGGCGAGTCGATCGATGGAATAAAAATATGAATTAAACAAGGGGGAAAGAAAAGATGGAATGAAAATCCATTGGAGTGTTAGATCGAGTGATGGCTCATGATTGAGGAGGCATTTCCTTGAGATATGGAGTGTACACTTTAGTGTGATGAAGATGTGCTGTTCCTTGAATTCTGACGGCGACGCTGCGACGGCTCTTCAAGGTAGTTGTAGAGTGTGGCGGGAGGTGGCACGGACTCAGCTGTGTGAGCGGTGCGCGGGGCCGACAAAGGATTTGGAGACCCTATTGAAAGTATAGAATGCTGCGAAGATACTTTATTAGACACATTGTTAACGGCGCCCGATACCACATGTATTAAAGCAAGGACAGGTTTGTTACTGCTATAGCTAACCAAGGCCATCTGTTATGCTATTATACCTGGGCTGGATACAGTGGATACCCAAGGGAAGGAAAGCGTATCTGTAGGATCTCCTATGGTCAAGACGGGGAACTGTAGAATAGTATAAATAGCCGGGCTTGTACCAGCTACACTGAGTAGCCTTCCGGAGGTTTGTGGAGCGGGGAGATCTGTGAGTGATGCCCTCCGTTATAACTCAACCCAAATCAGACCTGCTCTGCATTAATAGCAATCCAGTATTCGTATGTGCTACAGATAATCCCCAATCGGTACAGCTTCTTGTGTTTCCCTCTTTTTCTCGTTGCTGCTACCGTTTGAAGGTGATCTTGTTTCATACTGACTGTTCAAACAAGTGTTGTCTTCGTGCTGGTTCTGTGCTGAGTGAGGGGGTTAATACCGACTCTCAAGTGGCGTTGGCGGCTTACTAATTTTTGCTGTGTCGTTGTAGGAAGAGCTATATTCAGTTAACGGTAGTTTCGGTATTGGTGTGATGGTGGTGAGAGGTAGAGACAGGCCGAGTACCTATGGTGCAAGTTACATGTAGTCTCGTGCCCATCCCCGACCTGTAGCAAGCAGCCCCGTATAAATAAATCTAACTCCCGACAACAGGAAATACGAGTGAGGGTGGGCTGTTATCAAGTTCGTAATACAGCGCGCCTATGTTAATCCGACCGCACAATGTGGTGTATGGAAGCGTTGGTAGAGGTACGGTGATGTCTTAAGATGTACATGTAGTCTATCTGTCAAAGTACACCTCTAGTCTCTCTGTTACACATACTCGGGGTAATATGGAGATTTGCTAAGCATACGTACACACGATACGTATACCAGTGTAAACACAGGGAGATAGAGAGGACACAGTAGAGCACTGGGAGTCTATATAATCATGAATACAATTGAATACGATTCTTCGTACACCATTCACGATCACCAATCTCCTCACCTCTGCACGGTATAAAAGCAGGAAAGAATCTTTATCAATCGACTACATATGGCGAACTGACATCTACAACACCATGCTTAACCAGATGGATGACCTCGTTATCTTGGCCGGTTATACTGCTGGGTTGCCAATGTTGCATCATGTAGCCATTTGGATATGGGCTAAAGGAGAGAACTCCTTCGATTCCCCTTTATATAATTCATTGTTATGCGCAGGTTTCTCTTCTATCCTAAAACGTCCTATATTGGCGATGCCTACTTACTTCTAATGGGTGTAATGCAGAACATTGGCTAGGTACTGATCCATCCATCTCTTAATTCGGCACAATCGGAATAACATAGGCCCGAGCTGTTGTGCAAAGCCGACTCTTTCTCTATCCGAATGATGAGCAACACACGGCCGCGGGGCAACCACTCGGCCAACAACCGAGTCCAAGGCTTACATACATGTACATGTATGTATTTCTGAGCCCAAAACGGGGGTAGGTGGAACTCCGGTGACATATGGCCGAGCCCCCTTAGTAACAAGCATACATGCCCATTACAAATAAACCCGTCGCTCCGGTCCAGTTAAGCTTCGGCTCCAGGTCTCGGCCGCGCGTTTATGCGTGACTGGATATGTACAGCTTACATGTACTTCATACATGTTATCACTACATGTACAGTGGTCCTACATACAAGAGGGGTGAGGCTCTGTGATGACCTCGCCAAGTGTCTCGAGGGCGCAGAGTAGGCTTTGGATGGGTTGCTCGTATATCTGATTCTATCCTTAATCTTAGCATTGCAGTATATACGTAGCAGTTATGGGGGGAGAAAGAGCATCCGACCCGATCGAATCGCCAAATGGAGCCCTAACCAGGAGGGCGGTGTTTGTCCTTTAGGGTTGGCGAGGGATTTTACATACGTTCGAACGAGTCTGCTGGACGAATCCTAGTCAGTCAACAAGACGTTTTCAGCTAGCCGGCCAGCTAGTCAATGATTATTATTACAGTTTGACGAATCAAGTAACCAGGGTCTTGGCATCGCAACGTCTCCTGCACCCATGGCGTGCACGGCCGGAGGTAGACAGGCACTGTGCAACTCGGTATTTCGGAGGTGCTTCGGCAGTCGGGCCCGAGGTGGAGGTTCTTAACTTCGGCTCCGATACGGGGTGTCGGCCCCGAGCTGTTGGTTAATTTGTTAGTGACCAGGCCTAGGTATGATGGGGTTATTCGTTCTTTACCCGAACTGAATATCTATTCAGTGCATGGGTGGTGGTGATGCAACAGTAAGAGTACATGTATTCCTATGGATCGATGGTTGTAAGTATCTGCTAATGTCTTGACCTAGGTCGATATAAAAAGTTTTTATGTCAGAGTCATGATGGATTGTAGCTGTCATGTCAGCTAATTATAATTAGTATAGTTGCCTCATTATGGGGTCGAGGATAATTGCTTCTAAGGGTATGACATATATTCCCAAACAGTCGGTGTGGTGCTACTAATTAGCCCAAGTGAGTAAGGCTGTACTGATAATCTTTGATTAGCGCACCCGTTTCAGCCCTAGCACGGGGAGCCAGTCCAGGATGGTTAATATGAATGGGGACAGCAGAGAAGCATCATGGCTGAGCATGAACACTGGTAATGAATGCATCAGATCTGCAGAGATTTTTACCCATTAGTTCAATACCCAATGCTGTTCGCAATGTATTCCTGTGTCATCCGTGGCCCTCCAGTGAAGTATAAAACCTGTCCTGTCGGCTCTCCGATTCTGTGTTCACTCTCAGTCACTCAGCTGCTTTCTGATCTGCGGCCCACACTACCAGAATCAAATAATAGCAGTAATATAATAACCACCCACCATGATTCTCTCCAGTCTGGCCCTCACACTCGGGCTATCAGCCCTCGCCGCTGCTGCACCAACCCCCTCAAACAGCACCCTCAGCACTACCGACTTCCCTACGATTGATCTAGGCTACGCCATTCACCAGGCCATCTCCTACAACGTACCTTCCCCCTTCCAACCCCTTCCCCCCTCTGTTTTCCGTACCGCTAACATAATTATCAGGAATCCTACGACTCCTACACCTTCTCCAACATTCGTTTCGCCGCTTCCCCCACTGGCTCCCTCCGTTTTGCCGCTCCCCAGGCCCCACTGGAGAATCGCACTGCGGTCCAAGACGGCAGCATTGGAGGCACCTGTCCTCAAGGTCAACCCGCCTACGCCGGCAGCGACCTCACGCAAAAGGTTGGGGTCAGCGAGGACTGCCTGTTCCTTGACGTCATTGTGCCACGAAAGGTCCTCGAAGGGGAGATTACGGACGTACCAGTGCTTGTGTGGTAAGTAGAATGCATATATAACCAGCCAGTGATATTGCAATAGGGCACATTAGGCTAATTGGTGCAGGTTCTTCGGCGGTGGATATGTACTAGGATCCAAGACGCAGCACGGGGACCCTATCAACTTCCTCGTTGACTCCCCCAGCCCTGTGATCTATGTTGCGCCCAACTACCGTCTCGGCGCCTTCGGCTGGCTCGGTGGCCCCAGCTTCACGCTCAGCGACAACACAGTCCCGAACGCAGGTCTCTATGACCAGAGGTTCGCGCTCAAGTGGGTCCAGGACAAGATTCATCTCTTTGGCGGCTCCAAGGATGAGGTCACCGTCATGGGTGGCTCCGCGGGCGCTGGTTCAATCATGCACCAGATCTCCGCCTATGGTGGTACGGGCGAGAAGCTGTTCAAGAGGGCCATCCCCATTGGACCTGGGTTCTTTCCCATTGGTGGACATTCGGGCGCCGAGACCAGTTATCTGTCTTTGCAGACTGCGACAAATTGTATGATGCCCGAACACTTAAGAGGGTGTCGATCTTTTGCTAATATAATGCGATACAGGCACCGACCAAGGAATTGAGTGTCTTCGCGCCATCCCCACGGAGCAGTTGCAGCTTATCAATAAGCAGATTATCTCTGATGTTGCACCCCCCGGCTTCGGCTTTGGGCCTTCCGTTGACGGGGATCTTGTCCCCGATGTGCCCTCATACCTCTATGCACAAGGCCGTATCCAGAAGGACGTTGAAATCCTCGTCATGGATGACATCAACGAAGTACATACACCCTCCCCTCCCCCTCTCTTTCATCACCCCACTAACACACCCCTAGGGCGCCTCCTTTGTCGGAAACGGCACCACCGTCAGCGCAAACCACATCAATTCTATCTTCCCCGGCATCTCCAACGCCTCCATCGCCGACCTCCTCGCGCTCTACCCCCCACCCAGCAATAGTACACCCTACAAGACCGAGCAAGAGCGCCTCATCAAGGTCACCGCCGACTCCGGCTTTGACTGCAACCGCTACGCCATGTCCGCCGCGCTCCCGAACAGCACCTACAACTTTGTCAGCACCATTTTGCCCGGCACCCACGGAACCTGGTCCGCGCTGCTGTTCAACGAAGTGCCCGGCGCTGATGCTGTCGTCGATCGCGACATCCTCCTTGCGACTAGGAGGTTTGTGATGAACTTTGTGGTCGGTGGAACGCCGAATGAGTTGCAGGGTAGTAATAGCACGGGTGTGGGCCCCGAGCATGTTATGTGGCCAACTTTTGGAAGTGAGGGGTTGGGGTTGGTGGTGAGTGGAACTAATATGACGGTTGTGGATGCGAGCGGGGATAAGGAGGTCTGCGAGTGGTGGGGCAAGGCTCTCTACCTTAGCTAAGTAATTAGGTGTGTGTGTGGTGGATGTTTGGTAGATAGTGTGGTGGGAGATTTTTAAGGGGGGTTGGTAGATATAGGTTATGTGTTTGTGTATTTTGGAATTTTGTTTATTGTAATTTTTATCCTAATGGAGGAAAGTTTATAACCGCGAGTGATGGTCTGTGAGTCTGTTATAATGTGGTTTAATTTGCATGAGACATCAACCTTCACGCCCCCAACCTTCAATAATAGACTATCTATCCAGTAAGGGAAAGAGAACCGCATCAAGTTTTCTCATCCGGGTTTTATATTCCCATGGTGGGTTTTTTTTATATTGTACCCGAACACGTAGACAGCATCACCAAACAAGCGGTACATACCGCAACCCCCAACCATTCTGAAATATTAGTGGTACATGTAAGCCGACTGAAACAACGGACTGGCCTCATCCTACTATGGACATCAAATCATGACAGCCGCCAAGCCCACAGGAGGTGGAGGTCCAATAATTACGCACCGCTTGTCCCGGATCCGGTCTGCGTTCTTGGTAACACCGGGCAGAGTATTTTGCTCCACGCTGTAAAGATAATATATCTTACTGATAGTAGATGGGCTGGGGAATAGCGCTAATTGTACCTAAAAAAGCCTACTACAAAAACTACTACATGTATGTATATTCTCCCGCGAAACACTCACTCACTGTCTCATATGTCTCATGTGTCCGGTCAAAAAACGCGAAAGTCGGAATCTACGTATTGTGTGAGAGGCCTTGGAGGGGCGACCTTGTCATCCCTGTTCACACCAGTTCAGTATTGTAGCTCTTACAGCCATAAAGTCGAGTTAAAGGTGAGGCTCCTCAATGTTTGCTTCCCGGAGCCAATGAAGGAATTGACTGAAGTGGTGTGTACAGGGTCGCCCTCTACTCCCTCTTGCACCATAGCTAGGCGGGGAAATCCCAAGAAGCAAACTATGTATCTGACGGTTTTTATTCTTTTATTCTTTTATTTTATTTTTCAATTTTATTTGGGAGTGTTTGTAGCGATAACGCCCACCACAGCGCGGGCGTGCGAAAGCTGCATGTAGCTAGAGGTTCCATTGACCCATAGCCACCACCACCACCACCACCACCGTAGGCACTACACAGAACCACACCCCGGAGCCGGGGAGTCCTGTGAGCACTATGAATAAGTAGATTATTGCACATCGTGTACTTGCTGATTTTTCTCTTTCTCTCTGGCTGCTGCTGATGCCAGAGGCGGGTTAGTAACGCCGATATCGATATCTCCTCCCCCTTCTGTTTGACGGAGGTGTGAATGAAGGCCATCTCGAGACATAACCACCCCGTGGGAGTGGGGGTTGGTGTTATAGAGTGGGTGTTAGGCTTTTACCCCCCCCCCCAAACCACTCCCCTCCCCGGACCAAAGCGTGGGTGCCTATCGATAGCCGCAACCCCTCTATCCCATCCCCATCCCATCCTCAAAGCCATCTAAAACTCCCCCCCCAAAAAAAACATTAGCACAAGCCCCCCAACCATCAACCATCAACCATCACTCCACAAAAAAACAAAAACAAACCACCCCCCCAAAAAGGCAGTCAAAAAGGGCAAAAGAGAATCGGCAGTCAGAGGTAAAAAGCACTCATCAACTCCCAGCAAGCGCAAGGCTCGCCGGGACGGTTATGAATTTTCAGTGTATGTTTTTTAGATCATCATCCAGAGGTGCAGATGCATGGTGGTTGCCCATGGACGTGGGGTTGCAGTGGGGGAGAGATGAAGAGAAGAAGAGAAGGGGGGGGGGGGGGGGAGGAGGAGGGGGGGGGAGGAGGAGGGGTGGCTTACAGTTTACTCCAACCCATTCCGCGCTGCGCTGTGCTGTGCTGTGGATGGATGGAATTGAATGGTCAGCAGAGTCAGTCCATAACAACATTTCCATTTCCATTTCCCACCCATCTAGTGATGGAAAAAGACGAGACGATGAACAAGACCTCCCCAACTGCCGCGGTTGTTGTTGTTGTTTGTGGGTGTAGTGATGAAAGAGCGGGAAGGGCAGAGATTTTTTTGTAGTCGGGATGGCCTTGGCAGGTACCCACCCACGCTACGGTCTACCCACTGGGCGCTGACATGATTGCTTACTGTGCAAAAAAAAAAAAAAAAAAAAAACTCGACCCTAACCCTACCTTTTTTTTTTGATAAAATATTTTGAGCTGGAAGCATGGGTTATGGTTCGTTTTTCGGGGCGGATGGTGTGTGTGTGTGTGTGTGTGTGTTTTGGTTCTGCACGTTTCGGGGATTGAGTGTGGTGGTGGAAATGATCGGTTGTGCAGCTTTTTTGTGCAGTGTTTCCTTATGTACGGAGCGAGCACATAACAGACTGAGCAGAGGACAAACATGTTTTCTTGGTTGCAGGCTTAATGATGCGTTTTGTATCAAATTTTACGGTGGAGGTTCTCTCTGCTCGGCCCGTTGTGTGCTCGCTCGCTTCACAGGGCTTGAACGGGGTCGGATATTTTTACTCATGTCACTTTCAATCATTCAATAGCTATAGCCAACCCGCTCCTAGAGCCTAGGGACCTTCACGGCGGCAACTAGCACGGAGCGCGGTTGAGTGAAGATTCAATTCCTGGAGCGCCTCGCTCTAGATATCCAAAGGCCAGTTACACATTGAATGCGACATCTTGCTTTTCGCACCATAAAACCCCCATGAGCTACGCACCACTTCAACCCCCCCCCCCCATCCCACACTCACACTTTCTGCAATATCCTACAGCTCTAGCTAACTTTAGCCAAAACCAAACCTCACGACTCCCAAGCCTAGCAATATTCAGAACCCACACCCAACCACAACAGCCACAATGGAGCAACCCACAGCCGCCATCCAAGTCACTCTCTCCCCCAGGGCCATCTGCCGCATAAGGAAACTCGTCACCAGAGAAATCCATCGCTGCACAAGCGAACTTGAGCTGCTCATTGCCCGCTACAATTACGCCCTCAGCTACCTAGACCACGCCAGGGCGAATCATCAGATCAACGACACCGTTTTCCGCGCCGCCGAGGCCGAGTACAAGCGTGAAGGTGGATCGCTGGTCGAGTTCTACGACTACAGCCAAGGCCGGCCGCTGTTGGCCCTGTTGGTGCGCAAGTGGGGGGAGACCGGGTGGGCGGTTAAGAAGACGGAGGAACGCTTGGGGTCGACTTCGAAGGCGATCAAAATAGTGAGGAAGGATGCAGATAGATTGAAGACTATACTGGAGGACTTGAAGGGGGGGACGGTAGTTCCGGGAGTTGTGGAGGAGGCGGAGACCGAGGTGAGTGGAGAGGGGCTGCCATCAGCGGAGGGGGAGAAGATGGTGGAGGCACTTGAGAAGATGTTTGTGGACAATGTGGAACCTGCAGGTGAGAAGCAGCTAGTGGAAGAGGAAGCAAAGGTTGCAGTGGAGGCAGAGGTAATTGAGAAGCAGCCAACTGAAAAGGAGGCGGAGATTGCAGTGGAGGCGCCAGCAGAGTTGGAGGCAAAGGCTGTCGAGAAGCAGCCGACAGTAGAAGACGAGGATGCCAGCTGGAGTCTTGTTTAGTTTAGCTTAGTTATTCGGCTGGCCGAGATTGTTATCCTTAATTTTGAGTTTGAAATAAAGTCCTGATTAGGCTTCTCTAAAGACCATGGAACCTCAGTATCCGTGATAACTGTCCTGTAGCTTATTCCTACCGGTGCAAAGGCTAGATCGTTGATGCATATATATCAGCAACGCAGTGAAACCTCCAGATTTCGAGTGATATGTTGTGACCCACTGTCTATACCCCTTGGTCTCCCTCCAGCTGCTACTACTCGCTTAGCCTAGCCGCACAGTCAGCAGCCAGGCAGCATGTGCTATACCAACCAGTGCTGTACTCCATGCAGTGCCTGCTGTGCCAGAATAGTATTATTGCATGCTCTACCTCTCGTACATGTGCCAAGACGTAACGAGGCTCTCTCTCACTCACCTCCCCCCACTTCAACAACCATAACCTCAACCACAACCACACCTCGATATTAACTAACCTACATCATATACAGTCTACAGTTAAGATTCCAACAAAAATGCCAGCCACACGCCTCACCCTGATTGCCAACGCCTCCCAAACAAACCGCTGTCCCCTTCTCCTCCCCTCCTCCGACTCCGACATCCTCACAGCCGTCTTCACCACCTCAAAGGCCAAACTCCGCATCAAGAAGCCCGCACGGGTATTCCTGCGCGGCGGCCACGAGCTCTTCACATCAGACGACATCCAGCAATACCTCAAAGACGACCTCGTCCTCCTCATCTCCGCCGGCGAAGCGTACGTCGGCAACACCAAAGCACCCCCCAGCACCACCTGCACAGTGCACACCATCACCTCCCAGCTCGCCCTCGACCCCGTCTCCCTCTCGCAGCTAGCCGAGTGCGCAAAGCTCCCCGGCATCATCTCCGCCGTCGGCCTGCCAGACCTGCACCCCGGCACGCGCTTCCCAATCGGCTGCACCTTCGTCTCAGACGGCTACATCCACCCGCCGCTCATCGGCGGCGACATCGGCTGCGGGATGAGCTGGTACCGCACGACGCTCAAGGCGGACAAACTCTGGGACGCGGCCGGGGTGAAGAAAGTCGCCGGCAACCTCGTCGGCCTCGAGGGCGAGTGGCTGGGCCCCGCCGAGCGCGAAGCATGGCTAAGCTGCGGCACCACCGACGGCAAGTCGCTGAGCGTGGGCGCGGACTGGGACCGGTACCTGGGCACCATCGGGTCCGGGAACCACTTTGCGGAGCTGCAGGTCGTGGAGGACATCCTTCCCTACACCTACAACGACGGCACGGGGCAGGTGTACACGCCGCCGTTTGCGCCCGACGAGGTGATCCTGCTGGTGCACTCCGGCTCGCGCGGGTATGGACAGCATGTCCTGTCGCAGTTCTACAACTCGTCCTCGACCGAGGCGGACATCTCCATCCCCGCCACGGACCCAAAGGCACTCTCCTACCTCACCCTCCACGACGCCGCCTGCGCCTGGGCACAGCGCTCCCGCGACCTCATCGCACTACGCTTCCTCTGCTGCCTCGAGTCCTCGCTGTGGGACAGCCCTGAAGCCAACATCCCCGCCTACCACGCCGCAATCCAGGAGCGCAAGGCAATGGACATCCACCACAACAACGTCACACTCACCCCCTGGCCGCCCGCCGCCCCCGACACGACCAAAGCCATCTACATCCACCGCAAAGGCGCCGCGCCCTCCACCCCCTCGACTCCATTCCTCCCACTGCCCGGATCCCGGGGCACACCCACTCTCATCCTCCGCCCGCTGTTCAGCGAGGCGACGGGCCACGGGGCACAGAACGCGCTCTCGCTCGCACATGGCGCGGGGAGGGTCATGTCGCGATCAAAGGCGCGGGTGGGGATTGCGCGTAAGTATAACGGCGACACGGAGGTGATGACGAACATGAAGCCGTTTTCGCGCAGCGGGAAGGGGCGCGTGGTGGAGGGGGCGGGGTGGGTGGTGTGTGATGATAAGGAGCTGGTGTGGGAGGAGGCGCCGGAGGCGTATAAGGATGTGGAGGTTGTGGGCGAGGAGATGGTGAGGTGTGGGGTTGCGGCGGTGGTGGGGAGGGTGGTGCCGAGGGTTACATATAAGGTTAGGAGGGAGTAGGTGTGGGTGCTGGGGGGCGGGTTTGTGTAGAATAGTGGTTTGTTTGCATGGCTGCACGGGGAAGGGGAAGATGCGGGATTGGAGGGGGAATGTGTGGTTCAGCGTGGATGTGAAGGCATGGCCTTTATACTATGGTCATGGGCGACATCTACCCCTAACACCAACGAGAAGAAAACTCCCCACAGCACTCGATCCAAGAGTATACCTATAAGTACCAATTCCTCCCGACCCAGAGAATTCATCCAACCCCCAAAAATACCTCACAGGTTCATATAGTATTAATTCTATTGATTATACCCATTGAGCTCTGGTTCCTTGCGTATGTATTGGTTAGCGCTCGTGGATTAACGGTTGAGGTACTGGCGGTAGACATTGAATTTATATGGATGAGATCGATCCACCATGGTATACTTTGCAATTGGTGGGGGTGGATCATGGATGATCACTCGATATATCCGTAGTCACGCTATACCTCATACAATGAAGGAGATGAGCCTTGCATTCACAAGATCCGCCGGGAGATCTGTTGACTAAATTACTTGTAGTTCCGGTTTAATTCGAGAGCTTGAAGCTGATGTGGGGCATGTTAGCGGAATAGTAGTCTTGTTCGCAGACGATTTTCCCAGGTAGAGTACTTATGGCCCGTTTGGCATGGCTGTTGCGGCGGTATCGAAACTCTACTCCGTTAGGGGAGTTCTAAATTAGACAGGGTTTTTATTTTTTTATTTTTTTTCTTTTCCAAACGGAGCTTGGGTTTATTTGACCTGTAAAAGTTAATTTTTTGGACGGTCCTAAGAGTGGGGATCAAGTCAGGATCAAGTTAGAATGGAGGTTGGAGGTTGTGATTGGCCGACCGGCTAAATTCCATTTTGATCTTGGTTAAGCTTTTAACCTGAAAAAAAAAAAAAAAAAAGAAAAAAGTCGAATCAAAACTTCGGGTCAAGATCAATTGCAAATTTGATCCCTTGCCAAAATTTGGGTGTGGACCCCTGGAAACTTGATTTTGATCTCGTTGCTTACTACAGCTAGTTACTAGGGTACTTAAACTAGCGGACTTCCAAAATCGAAGCTCTCATTAGTTTTAGTTTTGGTTTTGATTTCTGACTTGATCCTCACTTTGGGGAGTACATACTACTGTGACTGCAACAACTTGAACGAAAAGATGCAGGTACCCTGACTGACCCCTACCTTTTCAAAAAAAAAAAAAAAAAAACTCCGCCCCACTCTAAAACTGCCTGTCAGAACACGAACCTTCTTGACAGAACGGAGTTTCGAAGGAAATGAAACAGATTTATGAGGTTGTCTGTCTCCTATATGTATGACCCTGTTACGACAGGTAGCCAAACGGGCCCTGCTTCATCATCAACACTTGCTGGGCACGAGACAAGCGGGATAGGTGTTGAGACACGTACGTTACGGTCGTAACCCGTTAAGCGTATGTGTTAGTTTGAGGCCCTAGAAAGGTAAGCCACGGCGCCCTCTTGGTCCAATCATCGTCACTCTCATCTCCTCTCATTCGAACAATAAAGCAACAGATCTTGATCAAACATCTCACATCCAGACCTCAGAGAGCGAGACCTCGATCACAAACAACCTGAAAGCGTCGGATCTCTTCTGGTTTTCGAGTCGGGGCGGCCGGGTTTCTATTGAAAAGAAACCCCTTCTTTTTTCTTTCTTTCTTGATAACCAGCTATAACCTACGTAACATATGAAGGTGCCATGGCGTTTATATGGTTTAACAGCCCTCCCTGTGGAGAACGACCTTGGGCTAGGCCGGGCTAGATATGACCAAGGCCCTTCAGACTGTTCACAAAACATAATGGCTGGCCCGACCAGCCACAGGATTCCGCCCTGGATCTGCTTGTTTTTGGGCTTGTTGAAGTCATTCTCCAAGTAGTAAGCCCTTCTACAATTTCGCTTTCTGTTTCCCGTCCATCTCCTCCACCGTCCCTACCAGCCATGCCCTCGTCAGTATCCCACAAACCTACCACAGATAGATATACATACTCACACAATCTCTCCGAATATCCTCAACCCTCCTACACCCCGCCAACTCCATCGTCAAATCAAACTCTGCCAGCAAACTCCTCATCACATGCTCCACCCCGACCTCCCCCTGCACCGCCAACCCCCACACCCACAACCTCCCCACCAGCACCGCCCTCGCCCCCATTGCCAGCGCCTTAAACACATCACTCCCCGAGCGCACCCCCGAATCAAACAACACCGTCGTCCTCCCACTCACCGCCCCAACCACCCCCTCCAGCGCATCCAGACTCGCAACCGCCCCATCGATCTGCCTCCCCGCATGATTCGACACCACCACGCCATCGCACCCCACCTCCACCGCCCTCTCAGCGTCGCGCGCGTCCTGGATCCCCTTAACCACGAAGGGCCTGCCGCCGGTGAGCGTCTTCCACTGCTGCAGGACCCACCTGACCTTCTCCCACGTGTGCGGGCGGCCGTGCCAGATTGTGTCGATCCACTTCTGCGCGGCGGCCTTGGGGTCCGTGGCGGCGTCTATGCCGGCCTCCTTCAGACGGCGCTGGAAAACAGGGTCTGTCAACCCCAGGGAGGCTCCGCGGCCGTGGTAAAATGCTGTATACGTGTTTTACCGTCAGCACAGCAGCACCAAATAGCAGTTATAGAAACTCCTCGGGACCATAATTCCCCATTGCGATATCGTCGTGCCGCCAGCCCAACTGCCAGGTGTCCGTAGTGAGAATAAGCACATCGAACCCCGCACCCTGCCCACCAAATGCCTCTCATCAGTCACACACACCACCCAAAACAGACATGCAGCCGCATGCATACCCACGCCCGCTCCAACAGACTCATCGTCAACTCATCATCATGCGGCATATACAACTGAAACCACCTCACGCCCCCCCCCCCCCCCCGGGGCCATTCGCCCCACCCACACTCTCCACCGCCCTACTCCCCGCCGTACCCAACCAATACGGCACCCCCAGTCTCCCCGCCACCCTCGCGACCGGCAGCTCCGCCTCCGCATGGTAGATCTCATTAATACCCACCGGCGCAAAACATACCGGCGCCGCTATACTCCTTCCAAATACCTCTGTGCGAGTCTCGCGCCGGTTTGTATCAACCAGTGTTCGCGGTAGGATACGGCGGCGGTCGAAAGCGTCGCGGTTGGCGCGGTGCGTGTATGACTGTCTGGCGTTGGAGGATGCGTAGAACCAGCCGTTTTGGGAGAGTTTGGCGCGGGCTTTGGATTCGAGCTTTGTGGGGTTCTGTGGTGGTGCTATGTTAGGAGTGGGAAGTAATGCGAGTGGAAGGAGTAGGGGAGGAGAGGGGGGGGGGGATATATACCGGTATTGAAAGGCGGAAGTCGGCCATTCGCAGCATTGATGAGGTTCTGGCGCTGATACGGGTGCCAATGCGGCGTTGAGCGGTGTTTCCACTGGTTTTCCTCGTCCGACATCCTACTAACAATAACAATAACAATAACAATAATAACAGATACCAAGTACCAAGAAAACACCGCACCCGGATCCCCCACCGGGGGGGGGGGGGTTTAAATATCCCACCTCCCCCTCCCCTACCCTAGACCTGGCTGTGAGTGGTGGTGGTGAGGTATCGATGACGTCGCCATCCGACCGTTCCGGAACGGTGGCCATTGGTGCAAGGGCCTTTCTCTTCGCCCCCGCCTGCCCCGCCAGTAGAAGTGCTGTCTTGGTGGATCTAAAACACGTCGAACTGGGTTTGCTGCGTGTGGACGAGATACCACGAGCGAAAAATTAGCGCGAGTGAGAATCTGTGATTGGCTGACAAAATAGGAAATGATCGGATCGACAACTTTTCGGAAATTGTTGCAGAAATGGGCACATGCGGTCTGGTTTCGTCGCATTCGCTGTCGGTGCTGGCTTTTTTTTTTTCTTTTCTTTTCTTTTCTTTCTTGATTTTTGGTGTGGAATTGGGGGTGGGTATGGAGAAACAAAGGATCATATAGGTGGGGGGGGGGGGGGGGGGGCGTCTTGGGAGGGTCTAACTAGCTAGTTCACGAATTGTAAATATCCCACACACCTCGCCCTTTTTCCGTGGATCCATCGTCTACTACAGAGAGGCTCTTTGATCTCTACAGCTGCCGTGGGCTCATTTACCGAGAGACTGGACAGACACATCACTCATCCGTCGGTCACCCATAGTGATGGGCATGAGACAAAACCTGGCGAGACTTCGCACAAGACAAGACGAGACCATGTCGGGTTCAATATGCAAGGTCTCAAGACCATTTTACAAAAGTCTCCGGACTTTGCTTTTAAGCTAAAAGTATGTTTATTTCATTAATTTCGACCATAAGTTTGAATTAATAACCGTAACCCTCCTCGAATTTCTCGCTATGAAGCTGCAAGTAGACATCTATGTCGTTTTACACAGAAAATACCTGTGATTACAAAGTCCCGAGACTTCGGCAAGACTGACACTTATGTATTGGCAATTACAAAACATGAACTCTAATATTACAAGACGAGACAAGACTGCTCTCATCTCGTCTCGTCTTGTATTGTGCCCATCACTAGTCACCAAATTCCCTAGCTTTAAAAGGGCTTGCTTATAATTCACTAGAATAAAACTAATATATAAACACAACTAAATAATATACACAGAAACGTTTCTAAGCCCTCCACGGTCCTCCACGTCCGCCTGGTCCACCCCTAGTTCTAATGGTTGTCGCAGTGATAGTTGCCGACGCAGAGGATGCAGTGGTAGAGGTCTTCTTCGTCGCCAAGGTTGTCGCAGTAGATGTCGCCTTGGTCGAGGTTGAAGTCTTGATCGAAGTTGCAGCCTTAGTTGAAGTTGCAGAAGCAGCAGCCGCAGCCGCAGTGCTGGTAACTGCTTTGGCTGTTACTTCCGCAGCAGCCACTGATCCCCACAACGCAGCGGGAGTGTACACGGGGATTGACTGCGTAGTTCCGTATCCCGCAACACCCCACGCCGGGCTAGTGGGGCTTGTGAATCCTGACATTGTGGTAGTGATGGTAACAGTGCTGCTAAATGCGGTTGGTGTCGCCCCGCTGGCAAGCTCTCTAGCGCAGTATCCAGTTCCGTAGACGTTGTTGCACTGAAGCACCACGCGGTCCTTGTTCACGGTCCACATTGAGAAGTCCTCAAGCGTGATGTTGGTCAATGGGACCACATCCGATCCCCTAATCACGATAGGGCCGCGGCTGATACCGTTGTCCACCGTGCCGGTCCAGTTGCTGAACACAAGGTTCGACAACGCAATTGCACCAGTGTTGGGTGTGGTGTGGGAATACCAGTACTGGTCGATGTCGAGAGCGTATGTGGTGTCATATGCCCAGAAGTCCTCGAAAATGCTGTTGCGGACGTAGCCGACGGCGCCGGTACCACCGGGCCAGGTCTTGATCATGAGCATCTGGGTGCACTGGTAGACGTGGATGCGGCGCATGTGGATGTACTCGATTTCCGAACCGCCATTGCCAGCGTCGAGTGAACCAATTGACATTCCGCCAGACTGGTTGCAGTAGATATCTTCGATCAGGACGTTCTTGGAGGGTGTCTTGACGCTGATACACTCGTCTCTGTTGGTAACCTCGATGTGGTGGAGGTAGCAGTTGGAGTCACAGATCAAGTCAAGGCCGTCAAGGCCACCCTTGTTTCCGCCGCGGATGGTGATGTGGTATGTCTCCATGTTGACGGCGTTATTATGGATAAGATGGAACGTGGGGGAATCGATGAGGAACAGGTCGTGGACGGAGTAGTTGGTGCAGTTCATGAAGCGGAGTAAACGGGCGTTTTGTGATGATCCGGAAATGCGTACTTGGTATCCGTTTCCTTGGATAGCACCCTTACCATTGCTGGAGTACATCTCCAAGTTGGTGGCACGCTTGATAACAATGGCATTGCCAGAGAAGCTTCCCGCAACATCGAGTGTGATGAGACCGTCAAGCTGGAAAGCCCAGTTTGATCCTGCGTTCAACACGACACCAGTAGAGACTGAAATGCGTTAGTTTCCGTTATTTGCGTAGGCCATACGGGGAAAAGAGAAAGCTTACTCAAATAGTTTCCCTCAGGAACATACAGTGTTGCCCCATTTTTAGCGGCAGTAACACATGCAAAAGCCTTCGTGATTGCAGGACCAATATCGGTAGCTCCGTCAGCTACACCACCGTAATCCAATACGTTACAGATTGTGCTTTTGGCCGACAGAGCAGTAGTAGGACCTACGGCTGTGCCTTCGAGAAGCTGCCCGAAAACCGCCGGGGCAAGAGCTGCAACAAGAGAGAGTGCGGTTTGGAAACGCATTTTGGAAAAGAATGTGGTATAGACGCTGCACTGCAGGTCTGAATATGCGAATAAAAAGAAGTGAAAAGAAGGGACGGAATGAAGGAGTACAATCAATCCAGTTATTGCTGTGTGAGAGAACAAACGAACGGTCGGTAGAGCTGGTGGGGGATGGCAATGTCCTTTTTATTCACACATCTCTGTACGCGCTTTGGTCTCCGAAGCTCAAAAAATATTTTAATATAGTTGTGACGGTCTATATATTAATTGCTAGTACTCTCTCCACTTTATTCACCGCGGGGTGGTAAAACCTTTCCGCTCTAACCTGCTTCGTTCTTTTATTAAGGGTTCGGTAATACCTCCCTGGTTGCGCACCAAGCCTATTTGATTTAGAAGCCAATTGTTGTTCCGATCTGCGCAGGGATTGATGTTTCGTATATAACCCCAACCCAGGCCAAGTTGGGTCTCTCGGCAAAACTGGTGAACATTCCAACCTGAAACCCGAGCTTCTTTCGAATTCTGTCTCTTGGTCTATGGGCCGGTTGTGTTTGGAAAATTGTGTTTCCTTTCAGGGGCTGGGTGGGCAGATACGTGAGCTGGATACCAGGGCACTTAGATCGATTAAGTTTGAGCTTTTGCATAGATCGTTGTACGTACCGGTGGGTATAACTAGGAGATTAAAAGCTTGCATTGTTGCCGATCGTCCCGAGAAAATGGACACGGTTTTCCCTTGGACTGGGTCCTTCTAGACTCGTGCTAATATTCTCTAGTACATATGTTGCGCAAAGTCCATTCATGCCACTAGCGTTGGTGCGGAACTAGCTTATTATATAGTATTCTTGTTTAATGGGAGGTATCAAGGCCGCGGATGAGATAGCTTCATATCCTTAAAACATATGCTATTATGCATGGTGATCGTACGATATGATTAGAACGCATGCTCAGAGAGGGGTAGAAAGAAGGAAAGCGGAAATAGAAACAGATGATGTAGCTAGATCTCGATCCCATACTCCGGCGACATCGCTCTCGATATTCTTAAGCAGCAGTCTATTCGAGGAGGAGGGGGCCATTCAACGAGAAGGGGATGAAAGCGAAGTACGCGAGTCCTGCCTGTGGATGAATCGTGTATCTGGAGGAGACCTCTGAGATTGCGTTAGCATAAATTTCAATATATAGAACTGTTTTTTTTTTTTTTTTTTTTTTTTTTTTTGGGGGGGGGGGGGGGGGGGCTGGAGAAATGGGAGTTGAAATACTGGGAATTCTATTGCCTTCATCAAAACGGTGAATCTGGGATTCGGTATTATACCTTTTTATTGGACTATCTCGGGGGAGCCAGTGTGTGAGGACCAAGGGAGGACTAGAAAGAATTAATTAGGTGTAGGAGTATATAAGCAAGAGCACATATGATCCACCAAGCAATCTTTTCAGGAGCCGCCGGAGTGCCTCATCGATCGTGATAGGTAATCCTGAGGGTAAGGTGAATAAATGTAGGTGAATAAATGTAGGTGAAAACCTAATATGTATGCTGACGATGTTGCAGAAGAGACGGTGGAAAATAGAGTCTCCTAATATCCAACTTGATAAACTAGTAAGGCGTGGTTTGCATGTTACAAAGGCCAGGACGGAGTCAAGTTAACATGTATTAAACTCACAGGTATCGTCTCGCAACTTGAGGACCACGGCCAAGTGCCTGTTCCTTAACTGGCCGACAGCTGTTGTCCTTTATCGATCTCGACAGAACAACTAACGTACGCGTACGTCCTCTGTGGTTTCGGTATATACATGTATTATATGCAGGTTACGAACCACTTTAGAAGCGATACATGTTCTTTACCAGTCTTGGGATATCAAGCTCAAAGAACGGCCCGAGCCTGTGATGGGATAGTTGTAGCTAATAATTCCTGTAAATAAAGGATTCTGGAACACTGCCTAGAGGCCCAAAGATTTCTTGATAGATCGATACGCTCGTAATTTCGAGTGATGACATATGATGCAAGCTCAATCGCCTGACTGTTGTCGTAACCACATTCAACCCAACCAAACTTTCAACATCCACAACCATCAAGCACCTCGCATGGTCACAACTTCAACGTTTTAGGCATTGCTTTCAAGTTAGTATCCCCATCTACATGAAACCCTTTCTCCAATTAACCACAATAAAAGGGCCTCACCCCACTAACCCATCATCACTAATCCCTCCAACACCAGCAGATACCGCGACAATGTCAAACCAGCCCCCCACGCGTTCATACTCCACTAGCTCAGGCATAACCCAAGCCTCCCGTCCGCACCAAGCCACGCCCTACGCCCCCCCTTATCAGTACCAGTCCCGGCTCCCTCTGCCCCAGGCCCCGACAACCCCCCTGCCTCCGCCCCGCACAAATACTACTACGGCGATCCCTTATATTCGTGTCAACCCTCCATCTCTCCCCGTTTCCCGTGTTCTTTTCCCTTCACAGCCTCGTCCTCTGAAGTGGCGAGAGCACCCAGGCCTCTCTCGAATCCCGAGACTGGTTCCGACTCCTGAGACTCCGACACCCCCAGGGAGAAAAAGAGAACGATTGCCTAGGGAGGTGTCATCGGCACCAGGAAGTCTGAGGGACAAAGATAGAGGATGGAGCATTGACGGTAGGGTTAAGGCAAGAAAGACGGTCAAGAGAGGTTTGGCGACGCCCTCGGCACCAGAACAGGGACCTGAACCGTCAAATGACACAACGAGAACCTGGCCATTAATGGATATGGAGAGGTTGTCGCTGCATGAAGGATTGTCTTTGAACCCAGCAACTAGGGAGGGGGGTGGGGATGGGGATGGGGGTGAAGAGGCCGAAGATGAGTCCATGACTGGGGTCACTCAGTCTTTAGCGACAGGTGGAAAGAGGAGGACAAGCTTCAGAAGGTTCGTCAAGAAGATTAGGAGATCTTTTAGCAAAGTCACGGAAAGATTAAGGGATTAGATGGGGATATATTTCCTGTAGGTGACCACGAATTTAGAATGCCTTTTCTTTTCAAAAAAGACAGATATCTAAGTTGGAATAGGCTTCAGAGACGTTTAAGATCTATGGAAATTGATAGGGCAGTCAGTGATTCATGTGCCTACAATATACACATAGATCTCTGAAGATCTGACCACTAATCATAAGTATTATCCCTGGGACGTTGACAACTCTCCGATACAGGCTAACTAAATATTAGTTATTATGATTCGAACGCATATAAAGTCCTTTGCACCTACTTTAATTGTAATATCTACCTACAGATTTGTGGGGTAATCAATCGAAATTGATACAACCTCACTTCCCAAGATTCAACGGAGAGAAGGGCCAAATAGAGCCATATAAAGTTAGGAGATCTTTCTGTTACATAGATGAGATCTCTCAAGGTTATTCTCGTCGGTTTTGCTTCGCGTGTCTCACGCCAAGAATACAACAGACGAGTGATGATCTATGATTTGTTTGCAATTCGGGGAAAATATGAGCGGTTCTAAACACGAGGTTTCCCCTCTTTCTTTCCAACCTCCCTTCTCCCGCACTAAAAGCCAAGCTCAAAATGAGTCCCACTGTTAATTTCCGATACACATCTTCGTTATTCACCCATCCACCTGACTATGCACCCCCGGAAGCAACATGTCACATTTCAGATATTTTATCTTGATTCCCAGCCTCCTCCGAATGTCTCTCAGCGGGACAACCCGTGATCTACATGCATTGTTTTACCTTGGTTCTGTCTCGATTCCTGATCATGAACCGGGGACCGGGATACGTTGAGCGTTGACATCATGGATGACGTAATCACGGGGCTTTATTATTGCGGTACCTGACACGACCCGATTTGCATGAATGTGGGGAAATGGCCAAGATTTGGATATGGGGCCGAGTGGCTTGATGGATCTGGGCGAGGCTGCTGTAGAATTTAGAGTAGGGCGAGATTGAATCCAAAGTGCCAAGAGCTTGCAACTCCAGACAATAAGAAGGTAAAGGAACCGCTGCAGCTAGCTAACTGGGGAGGCATATACTCAACATTTCCAGCAGTAACAAACATTATTATTACGGTAAAAATAAAATATCAGCTAGTGACATTCGCATGTAATATAGCTTTCTTCTTTCCCACGATAGGCGTAAATTATGTGTCCTATTATTTCTTGCGCATGCAGCTGGTGGGATCATATATCGAACTTTCGGGGATTATCCTTTCTGAAGAAAACGAAGGCGTATATTGGAATGTTTCTAGTGGCTGCAGGTCTGCGTAGCTAGCAGCTAGATTCCTAAAACCTTTTCCTTTATCTATAGTACCAAAGCCTCGACCGGCTCTAGATTTGGAAGGTCTCAGGTTAACGGAAAACGGGGCTGGCTCTGTTCATAAATTAGATAATTTATTGAGTTTTTCAGCTATCAAAAGCAATAGTAGGCTGGGACGGGGGTTTGTAGGTCAAACACATTGATCGAAATTGACATAGAGGCGTATACTTGCGCGGCTGGTTTGAAGCCGCTCGAAGAACTGTGGCGAGTGATCTGGCAGCCAACGAGAGTTCACGTTTTTGCAGTATTCAGATCAATTACCTCTTTTGTCTGAGCGGCTTCAATCCGGCCGCGTGCGTACGTACGGCATGTCTGGCGGTGTTTACTGGCGGGTAACTGGTGCGCCCCAAAATTGTGCCACCCCGGACCATGACACTGTCAGATTTTCGCCACCCAGGACACAATTTCGATCCATGCAATCCTCCGATCACAATTATGGTTCAAAGCAACAACGGAGCCAAAGCCATCCAGAGTCAGAGCTAGAGTTAGACCTGGGGCCAGAAAGTTCATATGCAAAATCCGGGTTGAAAAACTGGGGTTGAGTTTGAACAAAGTTCGGTATGACATACTCTTTGGTAAATGTCTCCCTGAGCCCTTGAAATCCCTCCTCACTCGGATAATTAGCGAAGAAAAGAAATGATATACACTTCAATTAATCAGTTTCTGTGTCTAACGGATACCAGCTTGTCTAGATAGTGCCTATGTCCCACTTGGACAACATCAACCCTTTCAACCCGCAGTGTTTTATTTTGGGATTCTCAAACTGCAGATCAAACTGGGACTCTTAATTGGCTTAAAAACTTAACTTAACTCTAGTACTAACACAACTAACCCTAAGCATAAAAACATCGTCCAGCTTTGTTAACTCTCCTCCTATAGAGGAGATAATCCAAGGGGTACCTCGAGCACCTCAGTTCAGTTAATCTATAACTATTTCTGTCATGTGATCGCTAAGATTCCGGCAACCGGCAATATCAATTGGGACTACAGGACAGTCACTGCAGGATGGCGGGATAGTTCAAAGGATTTTGAGTGAGTTGGCAGTTTTGTTTATTCTTGGCTCAATATCTATCATCGTTGATCCCACCTTCTTTCTTTTCCTACCCCCTCAGACACACTCCTAATCGAAGTGGTAGTTATCTTCCCATAACCTCTTGGGTTCAGATTCCTTATGGTGCCAGAAACCTTGGGCTCGAAGTCCCAACCTGCAGCACCAATAGCATCATCTCATGCTGAAGCCACAAAGTACAACACAGGGCGTCAAACTGCCGCAATATCACCGCCACTATGGCACCAAATCCACCCTGACAACACTTCGGGAAATGGTTTTCCCACCGCGCGTACTGCCAAGCTATTTATAAGGTGTGGCAAATAAGTGCCCCGTCGAAATGTTTTGCAGGAATGCCCGAATACCAGAATACCGGTATTCCAATCTGCATATTCACGGGATCCTGCCAGGAGTTGTTGAACGACGTCATCCATGATATGGTGTCAATATACCTTACCAAGATCTAAGGGATTCCTAGACAGCAAGGCTAGTATGGAAAAGGTTTAAGCTTTTAAGCGAAATTGGCCCTTTGATACAGGGTAACTTGAGACCACAGGCCCAGACTTTAACGACACTATTTCTCGAGTGAAGATATGGGGGTGTCTTTTGGATAAGGAAAACTATGATCTCACAATTTTGTTCCACCTTTTTCAGTTCCCAAATCATTCTTGAAAGCTTATTTGGATCTAACAACAAACAAACGGCCATAGAATCATGGAATATCACTCGGGTGATCGGCACGGCATTGCGGGCTTCGGCTTCGCCAAAATTTTCTGGAGAGACCTGCCCTCTCGCCACTCGCCTTTCACATGCTTCTTGCTTTATCCTCGCTGGGATTTTCATTAATTTCTTTGTGATTCATCTGACGTTCGCCTTGCCAAGACTTCCATGATCCCATGTCTCGAAAAACCTGATTCTAGTCATTCCACACTATCCTGACACCATCACTTCGCTCCGTATATAGCTTCGTCGGAGTATTTCCCCTACCCAACTACAAAAAAACCTTCGCCCTGCGTTTAATTCCTGAGGTTAAAATTACTACACAAATTATGCGTGTCTCTTGGCAGGGCGTTTTTTTCAACGGAGCTCCAGCCCGACGAAACGGATTAGCCGAAGTCTAACTGCACCTTCGGAGGAAGGAAAGGTTGAAGATACACGTGAGTATGTATATCAGAGAAAGAGAAGAGAGAGAGAGGAGACGGTTTCTTTTTTTGGTGGTTGCCACCCGGCCAGATTTGGTGTGGCGCTCGCCAGCAACCACTAGGTCAAACAGGAAGTGATCTGCATGCAGAAGCCAAACATTGCGACTCTCTCAGTTGTCGATTAACAACCGCCTTGCAGGGAGGTATGGGGAATAACACTGACCACACACGACAAGGTTTCCGTGAATGCTCTAAAACTCTAAGCTTATGGCTCATCACTCCGCAAAACTTCGTTCTACGATTTCTGTTACGCACATCACCACCATAGTACTGGTATTATAAGTCCCGGGGGATAGATAACCTAATTGAATTTATTAGAATACTACTGTCCGGTTGGCCGGGATTGCTAACTGTCTTTGCGGCGGTGCTCGCGACTACATACAAGCATGCAGACCAAGGGAAGGCATCTAACTCCACTTCACACGCCACTGCCGGAACTATCAACCGCTACCATACGAAGGAAGCATCGGGCATCGAGGATCGCAAGTGATACTACAAGAGACTTGCCGACAAATGACCAAAAGTTCCCTTATCTGAGAGCAGGGTTGACAATATTGTATCGATATAGCGCCTACACGATACCAATTAGGGGCATGTGTTAAGGCCAACTCGGCAAACCCGGTAGATTCAGAATCAGGGGAACTGCAAAAGAGTGATGGGTAGCGCGCTGGATGATGTGGTGCCCACCCTCAGTTGTCTGTATTTGTGTCAACAAATGTGGACTTTGTATGAAAGACGCAGAGGGAAGGGGAACGAGGGTAAACAAAGCGGTAACTATGCTCAAATATGTGCAAAATCTTACCAGAGGATGGCATCCGGTCTAACAGGTGCAAAATCAAGGTTAAACAATTTTTACCTCTCAATAAAATTGCTAGTAAAACTTCTCCTCGGGTGAGGTATCAACTCTGAGTCTTTGAGAAAAGAACTGATATATAAAACACCAAAGAAATGGTAACGAACCCTCTATTCCGTCTAGAAAACGCCAACGAAGATGCTCGTAGCCCATATGATGGAAAAGACAGTTTATCCCTCCTTCTACCCACAATTTCCCCCATCTTATACTCATCCATCTCCTCCCGCTACGCTTTTCCCCCCATCCTCGCCGTGCCCATCCCAGTCCCCGTCTCTTTTTGATCCACTGCTTCTTTGTGCCCGTCTTTCCTCCAGTTCTTTCCCCCACATTTCCAAAACTGCCTCCTTGCTTCTGTCTCTAAGAGCCCTTTTTATCTCTTCTGTCAACTCTGAAAGCCCATCATATATTTCTTGTTTCCGACTTTCCCACTGCTCTTCTTCCTCCCTGTCACCTTCCACATCCCATGAGTCCTTCCTTCGTGTCATCTCATCCTTAAGCGCGTGCGTCAATTCCTTCGTTAACGTTTCTATGCGATCGTAGCCACTCTTCCTTTGCTCTTTGCTCAAACGTCTCGATTTTGATTTTTGTAATGCTGCATCGACAGGAGATGGAGGTGGACCGGAGCTTGACGAACCCTTCCTGGGCGGAACACTGTAGCGACCTGGAGGAGGTTCCATAGGAGATCAACATTGATCTCTATATCAACCGCCACAGAAAGAAACCCAGAAGAACCGTATGTTCAACAGGGAATCTATTCCAAGGATTAATTGATGGGAGAAGTAAGCTAACTCCGTTGAAGTTGGGTTGTGAGAGGGGGTTTGTGGCGCACACCCACAGTTTTCAGGGCGATGTAGCGAGGGTTGATGATCCTGTGTACGTACTCGGAGGAAGTTTTACGGACAGGTTGAAGAGTATGGCAAGCAAAGCCTTATATTCCGTAAGGATCTTCTCTTCTGTCCGCTGGAGGAGTCTCCAGAACGCGATAAGGGTGATTCGGAAGGGTAGAGGTTGACCGAGGGTGCTTGACAGTTCTACAGCCTCGTCCTTAAGAGTGCCAGCCTGTTCTTGGGGGGTACCCCCCCGTTACGCCACTGCTGATTGGACGGAAAGTCTGTCCGTGGCCCGTTTTTGCTTGAACTTTCTCATTCGCCACTTTACCCGGCCGATTTCTAACCTTTTTTCCCCTTTCGCATGTCCCTTTTCCCAAAGTGGAGTTAGAAACAGCATATTATCATTGCGGGGAACCCCGCCGCCCATGGACTGAAAGCTCGGCGGATAACTAGCAAATTTCCAAGTGTGGGTAGCATTAGGTGCCCTGACTGTACGCTAGGTACTTCAGATCATGCTTTCACTGTTTACGTTGAAGAATTCTATCTTCGAAGATGGTGTTTTTGATGGGTTGAAGCGAAACTCTGTCGAGAGTTGGCCACAAAGTTACGAAACGATGCTAACACCAAACCCGCCATATTCTCCGTCTACGTCACTCAAAATCGAGAGGCTCGTGGGAAATTCTTGAGGCCGTCCACAGATCAGAATCAGAGTCCAGAATCAGAGTTCAGAACCAGAAAAGCAAATAAAAAATCCAGTAGATAGAGGAAGTGAATACGGGAGAGTTACAGTCCCGAAACGGTACCGAGACGAGGTTGTTGCCAATTGAATAGTAATATGTACATATCATAGTTTATGATGCTTGCGTGGACACCTCTCGGTGGCCACTTCACAATATCTTGGTTGCATAATCCCGCTGTGCTGCTACCTCTTGCAGGAGACCGGTCGTTGTCCACAGCCGTCCTCAATCCTGAAAAGTGATCGAAATATCATTTCACTCGGAGACAATTTGCCACCGAACCAACCATCTCCTAAAGCCACTCCATGTCCGCCCCGTATTCATTAGTATGAAATCATTTTTTACCTAGCTAGTTTCACCTGACTTGGTAAGGCGAAATCCTGGAAACCATAACCCACCCCTCCGCCCTACCCGACGCTTACGCAGGGAAGGAAAAAATAAGTATGGCGGCACCCTGCATACAAAATCAACTATGTATCATTCCACCTGGTGTAAAACCGCGACCGAAGCAAGGGACCTGGTACCCCAACAAGCCCAAGACACGTCCACTAGCTCCGAGTGAGGGCCCATGACCCGGGAAAATCCGGTAATACAAACACCGCCATCCAATAGATCGGCAGTGTACTTTACCAGATATTGAATTCCTTACTTAAGCAGTAGAGTTAACTTTAAATAAGAACAAACGTTGTGGCAGGGGTAGTATTTTTTTCGGAGTTCCTCGAGTTGTATCCGTCCCTGCTCTACCTTCACCCTGCCTCGGAACTTTGGGTCAATTCACAGCTGAAGTTTGTATGTAGACCTATCCTACACGAGCAACTATCTCAAGCGATCCGATCGGGATCGACTTTGTAAAATTTGAAACCGGACACTATTGCATGACCGGAAATATATGAGTTGTTGATTGATAGGATTGGTTGAGGTTGAGGAAATGATTTTATGAATGACAAGGAAAAAAAAAAAAATTGGCGAAGTAAGTTCGCAAGTGGCGAAAGAATATGTGGCTCATGCGCTGATCGTCGGTTTTAAACCTTATTGGGTTAATGACCTTTGCCACAATGCTTATGACAGAGAGTCATGTGATCGACTCTTGGACAGTAAAAGAATGGAGTTCATCCAAACCATGGTTTTGTTCAGACAGTTGTGTTGTGGCGTTTCGCTTCCGAGGGCCAATGGGACATAGGCCAACTAGAGCTGTGGCGGTGACAATGGACCCTGAATGCTGTCACGTGGAGATAGGGTTATTAACATCCGGTATAGCCGGATTCGATACTACCGATTATGAACATAGATAGCACTTACCTTTCGGATTGTTGCCAGCGAACCCCGAATGTACTGAGAGCTGAGAGTATGTATTCGAACAGAGGTTTCTTTGCAATTGATTACCTGATTTCCCCTTAGTTATATACCTAAAATGTTCCTTCCTATATGAGATTGTGACGCGCCAAGGGACTGATCGAACATGCTAGAATCGATTTGGTCTCAGCTTCATATGATGTTGGCCTAGTATAGAATCTTTTCATCTTAAAAGCACCTGCAACCGTAGGAACGGTAGCAAATTAAGGTTCTCAACAGACCAGACTTAGAGAGGCTAGAATATACACGGGCCCTGCGAATATGACCAGCCGATAGTTCCATCAGCGATCGATGTCCATCCCCTCTTTTCTTTCTGCAAACTGTCATCCATCAAACTTGATATTCATTCTTCATAAACACCCTCGGTCGCTCCCCCCAACCCCCCCTTTTTGTGCAGCGCTGGTAGAGATGGGAAAACTGGCTTGGATAATACTGCAATTTAAAATCTCGAACGAAATAAGAAAAAGCCATCCACACTTGGTTTCGGAATGTCGAGGCTCGAAGGGCAACAAAAGAATGGTTTAAAGTCTCGAGAGCAAACATACCAAATAACTAACAACAACAGGCAGGGCTCATAGTCGGCATACATGGATTAATTTTATAGAATTCCCAGTTCGCCGATCTACGATATTCGCTAATCTACCTTCAAAACGACAACCTGTTATAAGTCTAGAACGTCAGAAGACCAGCGTAAGAGTGAAAAAGCACAATATTTATAGTCCACCCTTCTGGCCCTATCTTTTCGATTCTTTCAATACATCTTGACTCTGCAAAACTGAGCTCAACACAACACGCGCTCGGCTCGGGAAGACAAGCCGTCACTCGTGACAAGGGTAAAACTAAGAGGCCTGAAGGCATTAAGTAAGGCTTCCGGTCCCAATATCCCGTCGACATTGAAAGAGGCTTTGTGAGACAGGGTGAAACAGCCTAATCGAAGCGATTCCAACACACCGGGGGTTCACTAAGAAGCTGCACATCGCCATAGCATGCGATTAATGAAATAATAAAAAAAAATAAAAAAAAAACTAAGAAGCTGCACACGGGAAGTACACTAAGAATACGGTTGCAGCAGTTTGATCATCTGCAGGTCACATGAAATACCCGCGGTTAATAAGAAGCCTCTCAAATCGTGCGAATGCCTCAAAAAAGCCTTGCCCCGATCACTATTTGGAATCCGTGAGACTTATAATTGTTCCATATTGCTAAGAGCATCACATGTGCAGCACAGATAAGGGGCTATAACTGGGGCAAGGACAAGACCTTTTGTTCTCGATTCATGACTGATCCCTTCACGCTATATACATAGCTTGAACTAACAGTATGTTATAGGATAACAAGGTTAACTCCCTAATCAACCAACCGAGCTAATAACATTGGGAACATCCCGATATCATATTGATTTATTGAGAAACTATACTCTCCCGGGAGCAGACGGGTGAGCGGGACACAAGCCACAACCCCACAAATACCCTCTTCTCCACAACATGTGTCCTTCACCCTCAAGTCTCAAAGGTTACTAAGTCTTGTTATAAGAAGGCATCCCAGGCTTAATAATCAATACAGTCGACTCTCGCTATAAGGGTACCTTCTATAAGAATACTTGCTCTATAATGATACGACTTTTCAGTCCTTATTGGGCTTTTTGAGTACAAATTGACTCTTGCTATACAGGTACACACCCTATAAGGGTGTCGATTTCAGATCTAGAGCGTACCTTTATATCGTGAGTCCACTGTAGTCCTTATAAGTTTAAGGCATGCAACTTTCTACTTCAAGCCTATGTCCGGAACTTTGTCGGCCTGTTTTGGCTCTGCCTGGATGTACTTTTAGACACAATTTTTTCAATGTATATCTTTATATGAAAAGCTATAAATGAATCCACTTCCTGTCTCGATATATATATAATAGAACAAACAGGCGTCTATTCTCACGTGCGCGACCCATTGGCGCTTATCCTATATGAGCCGGAATCGAATAACTTCAAGTTATAAAGCGACTCCTTTTTAAACCTTTATCTAATTATCCCTTTGGGAATACGATTGGTGGATTATTTATTTATCCTAAGCTCCTCAAGCCCTGCTTTGGGGTGGCTGTTCCAGAAACCCCTGTATCATAAAAACGCTGGGTCCAGGGTAACGAATTTCAAGAGAATTACGATAACGTGATCTGCTAGGTTTGGATTCAGCTAGGTTTTTGGCCCTCTAGAATCGCCTTTGTTTTTGCAGCTGCCTACAGGTAACAGTCCAACTGTTTCTGCATTTTTGACTATGCCAAGCTCTGCATGGTGCTTATCCTTTCTTCCTGATTGATCGACGATTCCTTAACTAGTATTGCAATTTTCAAAATCATTAAGACTTGAATGATTAAGTGAAAGTGAAGGGAGTTGAGAAGAAAAGCAGCTAGTACCATGCTTTAGTCCAGTGGTGGTTGTAGGTGTAGTTAACCAACAGCAAACGCCTCAATCTGTATTGGGTTAGGGTTAGTAGCCGAGTGATAATCTATGATTAAGTATTCCCACTCTTTCTAAAATTGAGTTTTGTTGACCCGCATATCAGTCTAAAGATTAAATTGGCGTATAAGAAGATCGTAGTAGGAAAACTAAGCTATTCTAACAGAAAAATTCATCAACTTGTCTCCAATCAAGTACGCTGCACGCACTGGGGCAAAGGCACATATGCACCCCTCGTCAGTGTTTGCTACCACGACATTTCACGTATTTAATGCTAATTATTCCCTGTGTGGTCTGTATGGGAGGTTCTCTTTGCGATGGCCAGAAATGATTTGTATTGAGATCAGGTTGATTAGAGGTTGACAATATTATGCGAGAAGCGGTCAACGGATACAATGCTATGAAAGGGCAAAGTAGGGGTTATATACAAGTATGTGTATAAATAATCTCCATGAGTCAATGTTTAATCCCCCATATTAAATGTTACAAACACCCATTAGTTGAAGGACACCCATACAGATAATAATCACTAGTTAATTATTTTATATAAAGAACAATAGATACGACATTCAATGGCCAATGTTTTTGAACTCCCCGCCGGTCATAATAAGTCAATAACAAGAATAACAATAACCATGGTCGGTCATGGTAAATCACTCGATGTCACACTCCACCTGTAT